TCAACAGCGGGCGATAGAGCAGTGACAGCAAAACAGGAAGGGGTGGCTGCAGTGGCTGAGGTAGCAGGAGGGCAATGGGGTGGCGGCAGATTTGTATCAGCGATGTAGACGAGAGTGAGCGGGTGAAATTTGACGTGAAGGGATGGTTGTGTGGTGTTGGTTGCCGGCAGTGATGAGGGGAGGCCCAGAGACGGAGACTGGGGCTGCGTGTGCCGTCCTGACTGCGCTGCCCCTTGCTGTGCCGCTGACTGGCTCTCCAATGGTGGCTGAGGCGGTGTGGATGGATGGGCGGCACAGCGGAGGGGCCTCGCAGAGGTGGTACTCCCACGCGCTGAGGGCGGGCTGCTGGCAGGCGGATGGATGGGCAGCACGCATGGGATGGGATGGGATGGGATGGGATGGGATGGGATGGGATGGGATGGGATGGGATGCGATGGGATGGGATGGGATGGACACAGAAGAGGGGGTGACAGTGGAGGAACAGGGAGTAGAGAAAAGGAAGTTGACGGCGGAATGAGGGAGGTGGGAGAGAAGACACAGAGATGGAGGAACGGAAGAGAACAGCGAGTGGGGAGGGCAGAGCGAGTGGGTCTTCGCTCATAGTGGAAGAGCAGCAATTCTAAAGAGTGGCGCTTAAAGCAACAAAAGGAAACGAAACTGAAAAAATCTTTCCTGGAAAAACGATTAGTAGAAACCGTAAAACCCCTTCACTAAAGAGAATCCTTACAGCACAAACATGTTTCGGCTTACGGGGATCATACCCGCTTAGCCTTCATCAGTGTGACTCAGATCCACAAAAGAGAAAGAGTTCGGACAGAAGCAAGCTAAGTAGCTAGCAAAATGCCCTCGAGATCTACATATGTACAGTCGACTACCCAGAGTGACATGCACTCGGCCAACAAAGCAAATGGGGTACACCCAGGGTGCAAAGTCAGCCTTCGAGAAAAGTCTTCGTCAACCAATTCGTTGATGTAACCGCGCGCGCACCAGTAACTTTTGCAAGTTACACGCACACTTCCAAGCTGTAATAATCCTCTCCGTATGAAATCTGCGAGCAGTGAGGTGCATTTTGAGGCGCCTCAAAAGGACCCCCAGCCTGAGGCGAGCTGTCACCGGAGTGAACAGAACCTTCAAGACCAGGGGTCCGCGTTGGGGGAGAGGGATGAGCTTGTGAGCTTGGCGCGCAGTAGTAGTCTCCCAAAGGAGAGGGCGGTTTCGGAAGAACACACTCCGAAAAATGGGCAGAAGAAAGTCCCCAGGATAACCGCGACGTCTAAGCCGATGGAAAAATTCGTGCTTAGAGGCTAGGAAAGCTTTGGCAGATGTCGAGCGTAACAGGTACCGTCTCAGTTCTGCACGGATGAAGCTAACCTTGCAGTGTCGCGGGTGGTAAGAAGAAAACGGCAGGTACAGGTAACTATTCATGGGTTTCTGAAATGTCTTCAGATCCAGGTTACCCTTCTCGGCAAAACGTGGTCCCTTGAAGATGACCATATCAAGAAAGTCAGCCGAGGAGTCCGAGATGTGCCACGTCAACTTGATGTTGGGATCCAAACCGTTGAAAGTGCTGAGATAGCACTCCAACTCACTCCGAGAACCTGGCCAAACAATGAAGCCATCATCGATGTATCTCACGTGGCACAACGGCTGCGTCCCGGACCACCTGTGTTTCAGCACCTCGTCCAGACGGCTCATAAACAGCACCGCGAAACACACTGCTGCAGGAGTTCCCATAGCAGTTCCTTGTCGCTGTAAGTACAACTGGCCGTCGAACTCGACAACAGAGTTCATCATCACCCACTCCAGCAAGGCGATGACCGGGAGGTGATTATGGTACTTCCCACTCTGAAGAATGCTACTCACTGCGTCGATACCTCTCTGAAGTGGAATGCTGGGGTAGAGAGCAGTAACGTCGTAGGTGGCTAGGAAGATCCCTTTCGGGAAGGCGGTTTCTTCCAGCTTCAAGAGTAGCGAGAGGGAATCACGGAGGTATGTCGGCTGCTGCAGTACCCACGGTCGTAGTTCAGCATCGAGCCAACGGCTAACGTTCGAAGTCACCCATGAGTGTGAGGCGGCGATCGGGCGCCCCACAAGCTTCTTCTTATGCAGCTTCGGCAAGATGTAGAAGGCCGCGGGCTTCCACCCTCCAGGCGGCTGAATGAAAAAATACTTCCACAAAGTTTCGGGAAGAGCAGGGCCCCAAACGCTGTGCAGTTCACGTAGCTTCCGGTAGACATCGGCGGTAGGATCGTGAGAGAGCAGAGAGTAAGTCGTGCTGTCACCAAGGTGCTCCATGCACAACCGAATGTAATGTCCCCGATCCATCACGGTAATCCCAACATTCTTGTCAGCCGGTTTAATCACCACGTCTCGATCCGCAGCGATGGTGCGCAACGCCTTCCTAACGCCAGCTGAAAGATTCCGACGTCGGTCAGGCTGAGATGCCTTCAACAAGACGGACAAGTCAGAAGACGAGTCCTTGAAGACCTGCTCCGGAATCACCATCCGATCGAGCAGCCACGTCGGGTTACGCACACGAAACCGCGAATCCCTAAGTGGACCGTCCGCATCCTTGAAGAAAAAATGTAACGAGATCTGCCGGAAAAGCTGATCGAGCTCAATTCCGGCCGAAAGGGAAATGGTGGGCGTGGGGATGAACTTCAAACCCAACCCCAGCGCTGTCTTCTCATCCGAAGATAAGATTTTAGCGCTAAGGTTGTGTACTCCGCGGTTTTGGACGCGCAACGCAGCTTGCCGAGGCGTCAGCCATCCAAACCAACGGAGAGCCAGCTCATGGCTGGTTAGTTCTTCTTGCGCGGCCCTTTTTCGGGGCCGCCTCCGCCGTTTTTTGGTCCCTTGGCCGCATCAGATTTGACAGGGCCTCCCGCCTGCTTGTCTTTGTCGGTGCCGGAATTCTGCTTCTGATTCTTTTTCTTCCCACCCCGCTTCCTCCTCGGCTTCGATCCAGCAGGTGCAGCGTTGCCATTCTCCTGACTTTTCTGCTTTCCCGCCGTATTCTTCTGCTTCGGATTGGCAGCAGTGGCCTGCGCAGGGTCTTGTTCCTTAAGAGAGAGATTCTTCTGCAGTTTCTTCGTAAGACTGGCCTCAACCTTCGCAGTAATTTCCTGCGAAGCTTGTCTTCAATCTTCTTAACTTGCTTCGCGAGAATCTCCTCTAACGCAGGTTCTAGCTCCATCTCCTGCACCTCCTCAGACGCAGCAGCTTTCTTCAAATCCTCGGCGGCTTTCTTGCGTTATCTATCCAGCTCCCGGATGGTAAGTTCATCCTTGGCAGCAGCGATGTCGGCTTGCGTTGTCTATCCAACTCCCGGATGGTAAATTCATCCTTGTCAGCAGTTCATTTTGAGGCGCCTCAAAATGCACCTCACTGCTCGCGGATTTCATACGGAGAAGATTATTACAGCTTGGAAGTGTGCGTGTAACTTGCAAAAGTTACTGGTGCGCGCGCGGTTACATCAACAAATTGGTTGACGAAGACTTTTCTCGAAGGCTGACTTTGCACCCTGGGTGTACCCCATTTGCTTTGTTGGCCGAGTGCATGTCACTTTGGGTCGTTGACTGTACATATGTAGATTTCGAGGGCATTTTGCTAGCTACTTAGCTTGCTTCTGTCCGAACTCTTTCTCTTTTGTGGATCTGAGTCACACTGATGAAGGCTAAGCGGGTATGATCCCCGTAAGCCGAAACATGTTTGTGCTGTAAAAATTCTCTTTACTGAAGAGGTTTTACAGTTTCTACTGATTGTTTTTCCAGGAAAGATTTTTTCAGTTTCGTTTCCTTTTGTTGCTTTAAGCGCCACTCTTTAGAATTACTGATCTTCCACTATGAGCGAAGACCCTTGGGACACTGAATGGTTTCCATCTGAAGAGGAAGACGCCAATTCTGAAGAACGCAACTCGTTGAAGAGGCAACGTAGGAGTGGAAACAAGTCACGTTCTGCTCGAAAGGCTTCCGGGCAGCAGTAAACCGGCAACAAATTTCCGCAGCTGGCGTTAACCTACGAATCGATTCTACGAAGTGAACAACCGCGTGATCCTCCCGCTAGACCTTCGCGAATTCGTCCTACCGTCATGGCGGAATCCACTGGTGCGACTCCCATCCAAAATCCTTTCAAGGGATGCAGTGAGAGATTTCCGGGACGATTTCAAGAAGCTGCTTAAGGCGAAAAGTAAGCTTAAGAAGATGATGGAACTCGATGCTGAAGGCACAATTCTGCATAGCATCCGTACTAAAGCTGTCGATTTCCAGACTAACATTGACTCTGTCAGGGAGAAAGCTAAGGCGTCCGTTGCTGAAATCCATCTGCAGAATCAGAAGCGGATCCAGGCAGAGTTTATCGCCTCGAAAGCACTGGAGGTTGAGGAGATCGCGAAGGCGGCTAACTCGCGTATCACTGCTCTGGCGACAAGGATGGAGGATTACATACAGGGGCTGAGTGCGGATCCGGACCTGGTGGTGTCTGACGCTGCCAAGGAGAAGTTTTGTCTACTCAAAGGATTCTGCATAGAGAAAGCCCAAGCCGACATCGCTGCTGCCAAGGATGAACTTACCATCCGGGAGTGGGGAGGGCACAGAGAGTGGGAAGGGCACGGCATATCTTGTCGCCTTGAGAATTGGTTTGACTGGAGAGCACTCGCAGGTGCGTGGCATGGCAGGCGTGGTGCAGGCGTGTGTGCGCCCTCACACACCCTCAACCACCCTCACCCACCCTCAACCACCCTCACACACCCTCAACCACCCTCAACCACCCTCACACACCCTCACACACCCTCAACCACCCTCACACACCCTCAACCACCCTTACACACCCTCACACACCCTCACACACCCTCAACCACCCTCAACCACCCTCAACCACCCTCAACCATCCTCAACCACCCTCAACCACCCTCAACCACCCTCAACCACCCTCACCCACCCTCACCCACCCTCACACACCCTCACCCACCCTCACCCACCCTCACCCACCCTCACACACCCTCACACACCCTCACCGCGCATCTGCAGAGACTCCGCGGCGGACGGCATGGTGCGGAGGACGCGGAAGCCGAACGCCCTTTGCGGCCTGCGCGCGTCGGAGTCGCGCCAGAGCGCGTTGGCGGCGAAGAGAAGCGACGCAATGGCGTCGAGCCGCTGCTGCTCTGTCGTCGCCCGACGTAAGTCGCGCGCGAGGCGATCGGAAAGGCCTTCAACGCCATCATCATCATCGTCGGCTGCCGATGATTGTGCCGCTACTACTGGTGGAGCTCCGTGAGACTCGCTGTGATGAAGCGCCTCGGAATCATGGTCACGCGCTGCGGCGTCGTCAAAACCAAGACTCGCGAATCTGCGATGCAGGTCGGCCATCTGCGCGCATCCGCAATCGCCTCCGTGCCGCAACGCTTTCGCCAACAGTTTACGAAACGACTCGCCGCAATTCTCGCTGACGAACTGCTATGCGCTGATGCTACTCGCCGGTTGTTGCTAGACACTGACGGTAGAAACCATGCTCCTCCGGATTGATGGGAACTGCGGACAGAAGGTTACATATGTAATAAGCCGGTAGTCCCTGGCATCGGCTGGCGAGTGGTCGCGGGTCAAGGGCCATCTACCGATGCGCCTAGGCGGGCCGCACACAGGGACGTCCCGTCCCGTCCCACTGCGATCTCGAGCCTCGGCCATCTCAGCTAGGCCGAGCGCGCCGCGGATGGCGAGCATGCAGGCAATCACCGCCATGCTCGCCGCCGAGATTCCGCCGATGCAAGACTGCGCGAGGGACGCGGTGCGTCGCGATGCGCATGGGCCTGCGATGCGACGTCGCTGACGCCTATCCAGGCGCGCCGCACTCGAAGGCTTCACGAGGAGGTACGAGAGAAGGAAAACCACGACGAAGACTAGTCTCGGCATTCCGATATGCTTCGCTTGTGGATATGACGGCCTGGCTGGCACTCGAATGAATCAAGCAACCTCGGGTGGATGCGGTGAAGGGCCGAGGTTGCCTCGATAGGGGTGAATGTGGTGGTGGCGCGTGGGGTTGCACATCGCTAAGAAATGACCCGATAGAAACAACTGGTCCCATGTCGTGCAGGGGGGGACGTTCTTAAACTTGAAGACGACAATTGAAAAGGCCTTGGATGAAGGATGCCAAGAGTGCAACAAATAAAGAACATCAAGTCCAGAACAAATATTCGTGGTGAGCCCTAGATCGGTAATAGGCTATAAATACTAGGCTGGGTAGAGGTTGGGAAAGGCTATGTCTTTGGCCGGTCTTGCACGGCCGACAATTTAGGTAATGTCCAATACATCACAAAAGAATGCATGAGGGAACCGAAAAAGGTAGCCCATGTTACGCACGCACCTACAGGATCCTGGGGGAAAAAACAACTTGCACTGACTCATGCGTCACTCTCACAACTCATATCCGTCAGTCGGATCAGAAAACCCACATGGCGTCCCGTCGAGCAATGGGATGTTGGAAACAATGCGGGAAAATAGGGATGTGAACAATTGAATGGAAAGACGTGTGTGAATGGGAATGGGAAACGACTTGGACGACAATCATGGCACGTGTGCATGGCAGGCATGGCAGAAAGCCATGGCGAGCAGGAAATAGTGTAGCTCGGGGTAGGATGTGGCTGCTAAGATGATGCACGGTTGGACGGGCGAGTAGGTGTGGTCCATGCATGGGGAGGGAGTGGCACGGAGGGGGAAATGACAGGAAGATTGCCTCGGTAATGGGAAGGTGGCTGGACAAATGACAAAGGTTGAAGTTGACATGAATCATGGCAATGGAAAACTGACATGAACATGGTTATAGGAAGCAAAAAGTGGATCAATCTTTGAGAAAGTGGCAATCGGAAGTTGGCTTGACAAATGGCAATATAAGCAGACTCAGAACTTGACAATTGAGGGTGAGATGCAGCTGAAATGATGAATGTGAGATCGTGTGAAAAATAAAGCATTGGAAAAGTTCACTCGAAAATGGCTTTGGGAAGTTGGCGGCAAAACAGCTGACAAATGAGAAGTGGAAGGGAAAACATGAGCAGATTAGAGTGGCAGTTTTATGAGCAGACCCACAAGAAGTGACAATGGAGGTGTTTGGAGAAGGGAAACAAACAATTGTCAAAAAAAGAGAAGTAAGGATTGAACACGAACATTGGGTAGAATGAGGATGGGAGGCAAAACAAAAACGCACGCAAGCTCCACAGCATTCCCCATCCCCTCTGTCCTGCTCGATTCCCCCATCCTCCCCCTCCCAATCTTTTCAGACACTCTTGGGATGGGAAGGCAGTTGTGGAAGAATGGCACATGAGAGCCATTCTTCCACAACTGCCATTCATTGGGATAACAACACTGACACAACGGCAATGGGACCATTATAATGTGAAGTGCGGACGCAAGAGATGGAAACTGACTATGGAAGATATGAGGATGGCACAAAGATTACTCGAGGATAACACAAGACAAATTGTAATAATAATATGCAGTCATGTCAAAAAGACCATTAGAATGGGTCGTGTGATCATGAGATGACACGGGTTCATGAAAATGAGGAAATGAGCACGAAACACGTCAGTGGGATTATGACCATGAGGTGTGAGCATGCCAAATGATGAGAAGCGGTTGCAAGTCCGCCAGGAGAAGAATGCCCTGGCTGACATGCATCGGCTGAAATGCATTGAGTGGTATGCATTAGCAGCTGGCATGCATTGGCTGGCTGGCACGCATTGGGTGGTATGACTGGAGCATGGGTGAGACATGCGGAGGGGAAGGGAGAGGTGGGCTCAAGGAGCAGGGATGGGCGATGGCAGGAGGCAGCCTGGCAGGGGTGAGATGGTGCGTGTATGGTGGCCCGTGGGCATGGCAGGCATGCGTTGTGGAGGGAGAGATGGGTGCTCGGATTATGGACAGGTGGATGGGTCGAGTCTGTAGTGGCCCATGCATGAGGGAGCAGTGCCAATATGAAATGGCAAAGGAATAAAAATCGCCGTGGGAAGTGGACAGGACAACGAACGTAACTGTGAAGTGAAGAAAACAAGGACATGAGATGGGAAATGGCAATGGAGAATTGAGTGAACGCACTAAAGATGAACAGGAAAAGCGGAAAATGAGACCCGCGTAGGACTGGACAAAGGATAGGGCAGGTTGCGCAGAAATTGGAAATTGAAAAAGAAATATGGTTATGAAAAAGTTTGAATGATAGCTGAAACTCAGAAGTCGGCTGAAAAGTTGAAATGGCTAGCTGACTAACAGTGAAACTAAAAGCAGAAAAAGGTAATGGGAAAAATGAGAACGGAAAGCGATGTTATGCGGAGTTTCTCTCGCATTGGTGCTGCGGCAAGTGTTCCCATCAGGACCACAACGGCAATGCAATTGGATGATCTCATCCCATCTCACACTCCCATCACCTCATCCCATCTCACACTCCCATCACCTCATACCATCTCACATTCCCATCCCCTCATCCCAACTCACACTCCCATCACCTCATCCCATCTCACACTCCCATCTCCTCATCCCATCTTAAACTCCCATCCCCTCATAACATCTCACACTCCCATCACCTCATCCCATCTAACACTCCCATCCCCTCATCCCATCTCAGACTCCCATCTCCTCATCCCATCTTAAACTCCCATCACCTCATCCCATCTCACACTCCCATCACCTCATCCCATCTCACACTCCCATCACCTCATCCCATCTCACACTCCCATCACCTCATCCCATCTCATTCTCCCATCATCACATTCCATTTCACATCCAGATCACTCAATCCACACTTACATCACCTCATCCCATCTCATTCTCCCATCACCACATTCCATTTCACATCCAGATCACTCAATCCACACTTACATCACCTCATCCCACCCCAGGGCATCCCATACTCCATTCCATGAGCACAACCATCAAGCTGGCTGGAGAAGGGACAATGGGGGAAGTTAACAGAACTGGCAATGAAAAGCTGACTGGAAGAAAAGAAATTGGAGAGGTGATGAGAACAATGGCCATGGGAAGCTGGCAGGAGGAATAACAAGAATAGTAAAATGGCCAAATGGGAAGCTGAGAGCGAGAGTGGCAATGGGAAGATGAATGTAAGTGGGATTGACTTTGTAATGCTCGGATGGCGAATGACGACAGGACGATAGGACGCCAGTCAGCCTCACATCACAACGTCCCCCAAGCTGGTGAGCCCTCCACTTTGCTTATAACCCCATCTTGATGAGAGTGGGAACATGGCAGTGGGAAGGTGCTAGTGGGAACATGGCAGTAGGTGGGATTATGATATTGGGAACACGGGAGTGGGATGATTATAGTGGGAACATGGCCATGGTATTTGGGACATGGGAGTGGGAGCATAAGCCAAATCGAAGGCATGGACCATCTACCTACCTTTCATGTCATTTCTCCATTCATTCTGACATATGCTGCTCATTCCCATGGCCACAAGAATCCAATCTTCACTCATAAGATGTCCTGTTGCTACTTTTAATTAATCATTTTGGTCACTCTGACCAAAGCAAACAAACAACAAACGAGTAGTTTCTCTCATTGTGTTCAGCTTGAACATCGCTGTTTTTCTTGTCATAATGTCAAAAAATATTTTGTTTTATCATTGCTCCATGTTCTGACCACTGCAATAATACAGCACTGACCATGGTTTATCATTGCACCATGTCTGTTAAATTCATTTAATGGTGTATATTATGATCAAGAGAACATGAGTCCCATCTGAACATGCAACATGGTCAGCCCACCACAAGAATCACTTTCTTCACCCTCATTCCCTCATAGCATGCTCTCTCCATCCACCCCCATCCATACCAGAACATGAAAGGATGATGCATATATTGAAATTACTAGAACAGACATGATTGGCAAGTCTAAAGTGGCACCCATCCCATTCCTTTCTCTCCATCCACCATTCATTCCCATCATTCCCACAACACCCTGCCAGGCAGGATGGAAAAAAGGGTGTGTACCCCTACCACCATCACTCCACATCACCACCACCAGCTTTACCTTAGTTGCCATTGTGCCACTTATTCAAGGCTATGCTTGACCAAGCTCTACTCACCCACCTCCTCATCCGCCGCGTCCCTCTAGCCTTCCCATGTGATGCCTTGTTTGATGCTGTCCCTTCCACTCTTACCTTTGCTGCATCATCCTTATTAGAACTTGGCTTCTGCACTGACTTTAAGTCAGAGTTCTTAGGAGCAACTGCAGCAGTAGCAGCGTCAACAGGCACAACAGCAGCCGAAGCCTTTCTCAGGTTGGAAAGCCCATCTCTGTTTTCCAAGGTCTGGCACTTGTTGGAGCTTTTTTTCCATGAATCTTTTGTGCTGGCTTTTTCAGCAGGAGTTTGCACAGGTGCGCAACTCGTGCTGTTTGCACTGCTGGAGCTGAAGGTGCAGACCATCACGCTCCTGTTGCTCTTGTTAGCATCATTCGTATTGGCAGCAGTTTTTTTCACCATAATCCAAGGCGATTTCTTGCCTGTGAGAGCGAGAAACTCGTCATTTGACAGGAAGGACACGTTTCCGTCGTTGCTGCAGACGCTTTCAGGTTTTAGATACCGTTGACGGAATTCCAGCAGATCCAACTCGCTCATATACGAGAATTCGTCTTCAGAATCCTCGGAAATCCGTGCCTTTTTGGCACTTGGAGCAGCAGCAGCAGCAGGCGTGGATCGCTTGCGTGCTGCATCGCTCCAGCTGGGAGAGGCGGAAGCGGAGGCAGCAGGAAGGCATCCGTGGTCCTCTTCCCAGTAGAAGAGGTCGTCGGGGTCAGCCTTGCTGCATGCAGCGAGGGTTTTCACGGCCATCGGCAGTCAGGTGCAAAGAGAACCTCGAGGCTTGGGGAGAGGGATTGCAAAGGGCTGTGAGTATACAACGATGTGATTCAACTAAAACGAAGTGGGTGTCAGACTGTGGTTTTGTACTCATGGCTACGAAAGCAGTCCGCCCTGACAGGTTGCTGCTGAGCGGTTCATTTACAAACGAGCCGCTCTAGTTGACGGCGGAAAAGGGGGTTCCGTTGGCAACGGGAATTTCAGGTACGGTACCGTAGCTAGGGTACCGCTTTGGTGCTGTCCGTTTGCCACGGCGTTGTCGAATTGGCAGATCCAATGGCATCTGAAGCAAACAAGTTACCTTCCGAAGTTCCCGCAAGGGTCTACAGTTAATGACGTGGCAATCGACATCGTGAGAACTCTCCACGGTGGTTCACTCGGGCGCACAAATTTTGATTCGGTGGCTCGAAATGCTCCCGTGAAGACTTCTAGGCCTCCGAAGCATGAGGGTAAGACAGTCACACCTGGGATTTGCGGTTCCACGTCGTAGGTTACGCGAGTCTGACTCAGGCTGGAGCTGACTGGCATTTGCACGCCACGGGCTGATGACGAAATCACTGACGCGACCTAAGCTAATCGATCCCGAGCCTGATGTAACCACTGCGACGCGCTGCGGCTAAGCGGACAGCAGGAGCGTTGAAGATTTCCTTCCTTGCTTCACGTGAGTGCCCTGGGGATTGGTGGCGGGAGTCATTCAGGGCGGCCTAGTGCTGCTGTGATCCATGGCAAGGTTGAGGGTGTGTGAGAAACCTTTAGGCGAAAACCAGCCACGGACAAATCTGTTACATCAATGGTTAGGGTAAGTAATGTTTCATATCTGGTGGTTGGTAATAAATACATCCATGCCTTCACATGAACAAAGGGTATGAATTTTGATCCCTGGAGATTGGAGTTTGTCACATAAAAACCGGTCTTTTGACTTACAGCAAGAAAAAAACTCAATCAACAGACGGTGCCACACAGGTCAAACTCGCTGCCCTTGCCATGCAGATGATACACACCAATCAATGTAAGCTCTGCTGCACTACCCTTGTGGCTTGTCCTACCAATCACTCTGTTCTTTCATTGGCCTTCCTTTTATGCACTTCACAACACCAAGAAGTAGGTCTCCCACAATTGGAGTGGAGTCAGTCTGACAGGAATGTTTGTCCAGTGCAGGACAAGGAGGTGCGAGCTCATGAGAGCCAACAACAGAGCCTGCGAGCAGAGAGGACCAGGGAGTGCAGAATGGAATGTGGTGTTGTGTTGAGTCAACGAGCGTCAAGACAACCATGTGGGGTCAACAGCCAGCAGGAACGACCGGCATCAGTGAAGCCTATTCATTGTACAGCATTGAGTCACACAGCACTGTCTTGTGCCATAGCAAATCCTATGCAGGCAGTTACCGGCACACTGTGGCGTGGTGTGGCTCAGCGATCCTTCTGACCCCGTCCGAGGGAGATGCCATGCCTTGGCATGCGAAAATAATGGCGATCAATGAGCAGATGGCTGGGCAAAGTTTCCAAATTAACGGAGTAGTCCCAAAAACGGTATTGGAGGTAAGAAGGGAAAACGACATTGAAGGTGATTGAACGAAGGACAATATGAGACAACTCAGGAATCAACATTCCAGGGTGAAAGGAAATGAATGTGCAAACTTGACTGAATAGTGGAAATAGGAAGTTAACAAGAAAAATGGCACTGGAAATTGGGTTGGCAGGGACATTCGGCTGGGAAAGTGGGAATGGGAAAATGTGTGGAATGGCAACTCACACCGGCCCTTCCATCCATCCAGCGTCACCACCCACCACTCGCCTGTTTCCCAACCTGATTGCCAAATGCCACAGCCTCCCACACAAAGCATCCGCCTCTCATCCCTCCACCCTTCTTTCTCTTTGCCACTCCAACACACCTCCCCATTGGCTTGCCATCATGCTGCTGCCATCGTGCTCCCGTGTTTCCTCCGCCCACACTCGCATTCAGCCGAGTTAACGGCGGTCAACGCCACGCCCACGCCATACACTCGTTTCCCTCCTCTCTCTGCCACTCCACAACCCAGCTTGGCAGTTGTGGGTGACAGGAAAACGAAAGTGCAAAATCGACTGAGAAACTGGAAATAGGAGGTCAAGAAGGAAAATTGCACTGGGAAGTAAGCTAAGAGAGTGTGAATGGGATCTGAGTGGAAAGGCAACCGACACAAGACCATCTATCCATCCATCCCGCAGCACATACCAGCTGCCTGTGTACCAACCTCTTCTCCATTCGCCACAGCCTCCAGCACACACAGATTTCACCACCCTTTTCGCTTTGCCCTCACGTTGCAGGGACCAGGTCCATGAGAGCCTCATGCTCTCACCCACCCTGCCCTCACTGCCACCCACCATGTTCCATCTCCCCATACTCGCCCCTCCCCTGCTCCCCACCTCCCCATCATCATGCTGCCATCATGCATCCATCCACCCTTGCCCCCATCCCCCCTTGCTCCCATCCCCCCTTGCCCCCATCCCCCCTTGATCCCATCCCCCCTTGCTCCCATCCCCCCTTGCGCCCATCCCCCCTTAGCCCATCCCCCCTTAGCCCATCCCCCCTTAGCCCATCCCCCGTTGCACCAAACCAATCCCTCTTCCTTTCAGGCGCCACACTCATATTCAAGTGAGTCAACTAGCGTCATCCGTCCCACACCATCCCATCCACTCGCTGCGCTGCCCGCCCATCACCTCCTGCCGTCACTCAGGGCGCTGTCAGGGGAGAGGCAAGTAGACTGGACAACAGAGGAAGGCGTGCGGCAGAGGAAGGCGTGCGGCAGAGGAAGGCGTGCGGCAGAGGAAGGCGTGCGGCAGAGGCAACAACAGGAGAGGCAGCAGCAGGAGTGGCATGAATGAGTGCGCTGGCCTGTGCAGTGCTGTCTGCATCGCCACGAGTGCGTGTGCGTCCCAATGCGCCCATCAGTGTGATGATGCATGCATCTGTGTCCATCACTATCGCTACGAGGGGGTTCCCATTCGAATGCAGCAAGCCAATATGATGATGCACTCTTACCACCCATCCCCTCTTGCGCCCAACCCCCCTTCCCTTCCCCCGTGCCTTCCCCGTTACCTTCCCCATACCATCGCATGTTCCCGCTCGCTCCTCCGCGCTTCCCCCCGCGCTTCAGCCACCTTCCGCCTCCACTTGCCGCGTCCCCCGCGTTCGCGCAAACACGCACTGCTGGCGACGTCAGGCGGAGGCGGACGGGAGGAGCGGCGCGAACAAGGCATGTGCGTCTAAGAGAGTCGTTGCTGCGAGGGAGGTGTTTGGAAAGGGAATGCGCGACTAAGCACCCTGAGGGAGCGCGCATTCTATCGTGCGGGGTGCAGAACGCGGAGCCTCATGACGCGCTGATCAGCACATGACGTTTCGAAACGTCCTTTTGAGTCGACTCAAATGTCGAAATGTCCCGCAAAAGCGGCGCGACCTCCATCGCACCAACGCCTCACCCCATCGCGCTTGCGCAACGCCAACCTACCTTCCTACCCCCATATTTGCGCGTTGAGCCTGACTTTCCGCGTGGGCGCGTCGCTGCTGCCACACTGCTGCGCTCTCCGTTCCCCGCTCCGCTGCTCCTCCGCGCTGAGCCCCGCCAAGCCGTTGCACCGCTGAGCCGCGGAGGTCTGGCGAACTGATGTACGCGCGATTCCTGCTGGTTGAATTGATGGTCAACGCCCTCGCACCTCATTGCGGCCGCACGCGGATTGTGAAGAGCGGAGGTACAGACAGCAGCAGCAGCGAAGTCAGTCAGTGCCGACAAGGCGAGATTCGGTACGGTGCATTGCGGTGGCTACAAAAAACATTTTTGCGTCTCGAAGGAGCGTTTCGTTTTTGTAGTAACCTGATTGCTCATTTCGAAAATGGATATGTGACTTGCATGTCTCCATGTTACAGAATTCTCTTTTTACACCCTCCCTCACCAACAACCGAATGAAAGTACCAAACAGGTGCGAGTGGAAACAAACCTCACATCACATGGCCTGGCCATGCTTGCAGCCAGACGCAATATCTCACAAGCCTGCTCTAGGGATGAAGAAATTGACCAGAAACATCCATTTCCCAAGAGGTTGTGTAACTTCTCAACTAGCCATGCGGCACTAGTTGCACAACCCCTAGGATCTACAAGCCATCCTCTAAAACGGAGAAACACGCGTCCAAGCCAAGTCACGAAGAGGATTTGATCGTTGAGTGAGAGATGATGTTGGCACGAGAGGCTGGCAGCATCACTTGCAGTCTTGCAAACATGACAAGCATGTGCAAAAATTGCTAATTGGCTTGTGATGCCCCCATGTGGTCCTGGGTGGCTGGGTGAGGCCGCCTGGGATGGAGAGCATGTCAAGGGAACAAGTGATACAGTGTTGCAATCAGAGGAAGTGACAGTGGAAAAATGAGAACGGAAAAAAAAAAAAAAAAACGCTGAGGGTTTAGTGTAGTGCCATTGGAAGGTTGACAATGAAAAGCGACGGTAGGAATTGGAACGACAGCTTACTGAAAGATGGCATATGGTTTAGAGGGGTGAGAATGGACTGTTGTCCATGGGAAGATGGGTGCGGGGAGACGGCAATGGAAGCATTGCAATGGCATTGTGAAGTGGTGCTGCTGAAATCATGACAATGAGACGATGTCACGATGACAACGGGATGATGTCAATTCGATAATGACGAAAATAACATGTCAAGGGGAAAACTACAAAGAGAAAAGGGGCTCTGGAGAAAACGAGTGCGCACTGACAAAGGGGAGGTGCCCCAGTGTGGACTTCAGTCTTCTCATTGCATGGGTGAGGTACGGTGAGCATGGTATGGGTGGGGCATGCGGAGGGTATAGAGAGGTGGGTGGAAGGGCCAGGGATGGCCGACGGCGGGCAGCATGGCTAAGAGGGTGTGGGAGTGGCTCTCTTGTGGAGGCACACGTGCATGGCAGGCAGGAATGGCAGACATGGAAATGCTGGGGAGGAGGGAAATGACAATGAAGAAATGGGCACTGAAAAATGGCAGTGAGAAATGGACTTGCAACTGACAATGGCAAGCTGATTGGACTGAATGAAACGAGGAAGCTATTGAAAAAGTGGCAGTGGGAACCTGGCAGCAAGACAAGTGACAATGGGAGCTTGAAATTGGCGGCACAAATGAAAAGACTCAGCAAACAACAATAGTAGACGAGTGAACAATGCTCATTGAAAGTTGAATGTGAAACTGTAAGAGAAAAAGAATGCATCGGATAATCGAGTGAAACTGGCTATGGGAAGCTGGCAGGGTAGAAGAGGAGGGAAAAAGGAGTGATTTGTAGTTGACTGGTAGTGATGCAGGAACATGAGATGACTTGACTTGACAAAATGAAGATTGTGACTGAGAATTGAAGGGGACTGAGCAATTAATTGGAGATGAGTGAGCGAATAATCAAAGATGACTGAGCGAATGAAAGCGCTAACAATGGGAGACTGGCAATAAGCAGTTAACAAGAATATGATACGCTGGAAACAGGGGAGTGAGAAGATGATTGGAAACATGAAAATGGGATGAACAAAATGGGATCATGCGATAGGATAATCAGATTGCTATCAGAGATTGGGAGGTGGGAATGAAAGAGAGGTGACTGGAAAAAATGGCTACCATGTATGGGGAATGAAATGGGAGGCATGAAAAGCACACTTGAGCAAGAAGGCATGTGCAAGCAACTACCATGATTTGGCATGCCAGGATGCATGACTAGCAGACATGCTAGAATGAACGGCAGAAAAAACAATTGCAATGGGGGGATTGATGGGGGAGTAAGAGAGGGGAGAGGAATGACCTTTCCTTGCGATGGCTCACATGCAAGGGGACAGGCGGATCAGAAGAATTGGTTGGGAGAAAGGACAGTGAGAAATCTGGCAGTGGGAAATCTGGCAGTGAGTAACATGACTGAAGGAGAAAGTTCACAGAGAGATTGACAATGGGAGAAATGAAGTGAAATCGAATTTCGACAAACAGTAAAGAAAGGAAAACGACACTGGCAAAATCAGCAGAGGGCAGTTAACAGAGGGGTTATATTTGATTCTCCTAAGACAGCTCATATGGGATTGACTGATTGATTGAGACTCGAAATCCGCTTCATCGCACTGGGTGTGAAAGTGAGATTTTAATAAACGGCAGTCGGAACAGGGAAATGGGGGGTGGACAGTGCGGTGTGGACAGTGCGGTGTGGACAGTGCGGTGTGGACAGTGCGGTGTGGACAGTGCGGTGTGGACATTATCTGTAGGGGGGGGGGAACATGACAGAGGGAGAATGAAAGGGAGATGACAGTGGAATCATGGCAGCTGCATGATGAGAGTGGAAGCATGACAATGGGAACATGACAGTTGCATGCCATGATGGGAGTGGAAGCATGACAATGGGAACATGACAGTTGCATGCCATGATGAGAGTGGAAGCATGACAATGGGAACATGACAGTTGCATGCCATGATGAGAGTGGAAGCATGACAATGGGAACATGACAGTTGCATGCCATGATGAGAGTGGAAGCATGACAATGAGAAAGATGGCAAAGAGGGAGGTGGCTGTGGAAAAGGGGCAATGGGAAAATGACAGTGGAGAGGCAATAGGAAACTGACAGGGAAGATGATTCGCAAAAGGCATAGGGCAGCATTGGAACAGGATAGGGGGCGGGCAGAATGGCAAAAGCAAGATAACAAACAACAACGGCCCAACTTCAAACCACTCCACACTCACCTCCTCCTGCTTCACTTCTCCATTTCACCAACACCAGCTAGTACAAGAGGGTGAAATCACATCTGATCTTTGCAATGTAAATAGTTACAAGATGCTAAGACCACAAGTACAAAACTGGGAGATCCAAGCTATTGCTGAGACCGTGAACTCTATTGCAGCAGATCCATTGCCATGCCCAGCCACAAAACTCCCCACACCACATACCACCTTCCAGCTGACCACATGCCTCCACCTCTCCTGCCATCTCTCCCACAACACCCTGCAAGCAGGGTGCAAAAAGGGGTAAGTCCCGCCATGCGCCTGCCACCAGCCCCCACCAGCCATGCTCATCCCAACTGCACCGCACACGCCTTCCTCCACATGCCATTTTGAAGGCTCTGGATCTGCATGTAGCTATAAATGATGCTACAGCTATTGCTATTGCTGCTCCTGCTGCTGCTGCTACTGCTACCGTGCACTGCTTCCCAGGGGTGCTGCTGTGCGTGGCTTGGGAATGCGAGTGGCGGCCACTGCTGCTGCTGGAGCAGCCGGTTTACGAGTGCTGTGAGGCGCAGCCTGCACTGCCTTAGCCGCTGCACCCGTGTGCGCTGCCCTGCTCTGCCCAGGCCGAGGGATGCCACTCGCACCACCGCCACCACGCCCTGAAATCTCGCCCAAACATGCTGCTCGCCCTCCTGCTGCCTCCACCCCTCCCAACGCCGCATTCCCTGCTGCTGCTGCACGCACCGCCGTGTGTGCTGCCCTCCCATTGCCCTGCTCCCTCGCCTTCTCTCTTGCCGCTTTTAATGCCACCGACCCCACTGGGCTGCTCTTAACAGCAACACTCTTAGCAGCTGCAGGCGTCACAAGTGCGGCCTTGGCTGGCGTGCCTTTAGCTGCAGCAGCTGCGGGCTTAACGCTCTTGACAGCAGCAACAGGCTTCACAGCAGCAGCCGCTGTAGCCTTGGCTGACGATCCCCTGGCTGCTGCAGGAATAGCTGGAACAGTCCTCACAGCACCACTTTTCACAGCGGCGCTCTTCACGTTAACAGCAGCGGTGGTGACAGTAGCGCTCTTCCCAGAAGCGGTGGAAGCAGCAGCGCGTGCACCCATGACGTGCGTGGGCGTGGGCGTGTTGCTGCGCGGCTGAGTCACGGGCGTGTTGCTGCGCGGCTGACTCACGGGCGTGTTGCTGCGCGGCTGACTCGCGGGCTTGGTGGGTCGCAGCGGGGAGAAGCCCAGCGACGCACGGGGGGAGCGCGCAGTGCTCTGCTCGTCCTCGTTCAACCGCCCCACGCGCACCGCAACGGCGTGCAGCCGCTGCTGCCGCCTCTTGCTCATGCACGCCACTGCACTACTGCCACGCTTCGAGTTGCTGCGTTCGCTGCCGTTGCTGCTGCTGCTGCTGCTGCTGCTGCTGCTGCTGCTGCTGCTGCTGCTGCTGCTGCTGCTGCTGCTGCTGCTGCTGCTGCTGCTGCTGCTGCTGCTGCTGCTGCTGCTGCTGCTGCTGCTGCTGCTGCTGCTGCTGCTGCTGCTGCTGCTGCTGCTGCTGCTGCTGCTGCCGATGCTGCTGCTGCGAATGACACTGCTTCCTACGGTGCTGCTGGTGGCAATGCTAGCGATGCTGCTGTTGTCGCCGTCGCTGGTGATGCTGCTGCCACCGTTGCTGCGGCTGCTGGTGCTGGTCGGAGTGGTGCTGGCAGCGGGTGCAGCGCCAAATGTGAGGGTTACAATGGGTTCACAGAACGGAATCCCCGGGATATCATCCCAAAAAAATTGGCCGCAAAAAGATGCCGCAAGGTCACCTTTGGGATACCTACCAGTGGGTAACCCAAAGGATTGAGTATACGTTTCCTCCGGGTCACCTCAAAGTTCGTTGTGACCTCAAGGTTACCCACAGAGGTGACCTACAGGTAACCTACAGAAAACCGTCATGTCACCGCGATGATTCCGCTCCCACGTTGCTGGAGCCAATCACACGCCACCGTCAATCGCGCCGCGAACAATAATTCAAATACTACACTCCTGCTGTACACTCAATTTAATTAGTTTACAGGTTACTAGGCAAAATAATTTTTAATCAATCGTGTTTCTCTTTTACGGTAATAACAAATGGACAGGACAACACAAGGTGACTTAGCATTGCATATAAAATAAGCATTGCAGTACATGGATTGAAACAACACATGTCATACACGACACGCCTAAACAGTGTGCTAAAACGACGGGTAAAGTAAAACCAGAAAAGGTCAATGAGCACCAAATGGCAGCAAATCAACAGAAGTTTCCTGCTTCTCAAACCAGTCAACTTAACTTCCTGCCACATTAGAGCAGTGAAAACAACAAGCAGAGAAATGTTAGCAACGAGGAAATGGAATGAGGGGAAAATAACGTTTTACGCCAGCGTCTAGTAAACAGAACTTACCAGAAAGAAGAGTCTTTGCATGTAGGAGGCTTGATTTCGCCTGCACAAGCACATCGCTAGGAACTGGAAACAATAGAAAACGACATTCCACGCCAGCAAAGTTTACTACAGAGAGTATACTTACCAGAAAGTGACTTGGCAGGTAAGAATCTTGGTTACGCTTCACCTGCAACAGCACTGCGCTAAGGCAACCATCGCACAGAATGGCAGAGCTAAACGGGTGGTTGACAAATACAACATTGGCGCTGGGAAAAAACGCCATGAAACATAATGGCGATGACAAACAGGTGACTCACTGGCGACTTGCTTACCTCGTATGCATAATCTATATCTCCAACATGAGCGCCGGCACGACAGTAGGTGCTGCCAGCAAAGAAACACACAAGCTCGAGGAAACAGTTAAAAACTGACGATAGAATAACTACTAGTCATTCACGCCTCCAATCGCCAGGTTTAAGACGTTGCTTAATCAGAAATGGAATGACGAGATACTAAGCTATTTATCGGTCACCCTATTTCCCCAGAAATGTCTAGGAAACTGAAGTAGCGGAAAATGCGGACATGGCGGCGAGTTAAGAGAAGTGGTCACTCGACACATTGACCACACTGAAGAATGAGGGAAGTGGGTTAGATGAGGCTGTGAAATACCTCCGAGTGACCGAATGGCTGAAGTGACTTGCACAACTTTGATTGGTGCACGAAATCCTGGCTGCCACCTAGCGAAACCCATCATGTAAAATTCGATATGATGAGCTGCGTTTGCACGCTTGGAGATGGTAAATCTACTGTGCTGCTGTAAAAGCATGTACAAAACTGGCTCGGGGTCAGCCTCGGATGCTGAAACCAATTGACCAGCCTCGTTCCGAGGCAGACGGGGTTTCCTCGGGGTGTCCTCAAACTTTTGCTTCATCCTGATTCGTCAGTTTCTGATTTCCGAAACTGGGCGAGTTTGTAATACATTTCGCGGATGTCGTTGTTCCCCTCATGTTTCCTTTTGGGGTCTTCAGGGGAACTATGAGGTAACCTCGCATATGATGCCCCAAGGTAACCCTCAATTTCGAACCGATTTGGGCGTTCGAATTTTTGGGATGATAAAGCCACGTTTGCTCGGCTTCGCTATACTCCTTCCAAAACTCATGCTCGATGGGCGAATTTTCACCCATCCAGAAGCCCAGCGGACAGCCAGGTGCAGTCTTCCTTTGAGAAATCCTTCCAGAACTCGTGATCTAGGCCCAAGGACGTCAGCGGTGCGTACAGCCACGTGGCATCCGCCTTGCTGAAGTCCCTCCAGAATTCGTAATCGATTGAGGGGCTCGTAAACTGGAAAGCTGAGGCAGTTCGCGAGGCCATTGTACGAGCGGGATGCTAAATAAGCAGGGAAATACTAGTCGTGCGACGTGGAAGTTGATACCGGGTGATCTCTGTTAGCGAATAGTAAGGACTAGAAGAGGTGTTGTATGAATGAAAGTGGCGAGTTTGCTTTGTAGAGGTGGGAAGGCACGACAGTTCCAAGGCGAAAGGGTGGATCGAGCAGTCGCCAATGGCGGGCAGGGAAGAAGAAGCAATTGCTGCCCACAATAGGAATCTAGACATTCCGTAAAGCGCGTGCTCTGGTTTGTGGTTCGTGCCGAACCTATGGAGAGGTTGGGCAGCCAATGGCATCCTGGGAATTATTTGCTCCAAGCGCGATCTCAGGTTTTTCCGCCGCTGAACGCCAAGCAGAGGGCCCATACCAGGTCCTCGAACCAGCACGGTTTTGGGCTGCGAAATCTCAGCGTTTTTTGCTGCCCTAACTCAAGCCGAGTCGTCCTTCCGTCAAGCTCGCCGCTGCAGAACCGGCGATTCGCCTGCGGAAACACGATGCTCTACCCGGTTGACTGAATGTGGGGCTCCTATGGGTGTACTCTCCGATCGAAGGTATGCTCGAGGCTGCCATGGCTTGATTCCGTTCAGTCATCGTCAACGAAATGGTAAAGTAATCGATCCAGCAATCAGCGGACGCGAATCAGACAGAGGCTCGATCGAGCCGCACTACGACGTGGCGCGAGCGAATTGATGGATCGCAGTGCTCGCCTGGCAATCGGACGGTCTTCAGCAGCTCATGATATCTCGAAGTGCTCAGTAGGAAACTAGTCTCGAGGAACTAGGGTTTCTTCCCCAAGATTGCAATGAGAACGAGAGAAATGAATGCTGCTATGTGCAGATCCGTCATCAGCTTAAACAAATTGAAGCTTTTTTACATGGTTAACATATTGCCTTCATCAACAATTTAACTGCATGATTCCTTATCCAAGTTGAACGGAGAGTTGTATTACACGTAATACAAGTTCTTTTTTGTCTCAATACTTTTGGAAAGCTTTAAAATATATGGTATGCCTTATATATATATGGAAAGCTTACCAATACATTGGAATTGTATCCCAAAGACAACTGACAGCTAATAGCAAATTGACCTCCAAACTGAAGACAGCTTACAGTCATTTGCTATATTGCATAAGTATACGTAGGTCGACAACATTCCTCCAACCCTCTGAAAATGAGCATACGGTATATGATGATAATTTGGTTGCTTGTTGATGTCCTTACTAGAAGGTTCTGTACATGTCCCTTTTCCTGTATTCTGCTTCCCCTCACACACTGCTCTGCTCCACCCAAACTCCTTCCTTTACACATTCTCCTTTCTGCTCAGGAAGGAGAAAGATATGTCATGTCATGACTCCCTTCGGCTGACATGCAACGCTGGGCAAACACGCCTTGCCTGACACCCACACAAACAGATAGATGGCAATGAGAGCATGGCAGTGTGATCATGACATGTGTTCATGAGATTAAGGAAATGAGCATGGAACATGACAGTGGGATTCTGACGATGACATGACATGAGAGCATGCCAAATGATGACCTGCATTGGCTACGAGAAGCATGCCCCTGCTGACATGCATTGGCTGACATGCATTGGATGGCATGCATTGGAGCATGGCTGAAGCATGCAGAGGGGATAGGAGAGGTGGGCACAAGGACAAGGGAGGGATGTGCGATAGGTGGCAGGGATGAGAGGGATGTGCGATAGGTGGCAGGGATGAGAGGGTGCGTGTATGGAGGAACGTGGGCAGGCAGGCATGCGATGTGGGCGGAGAGATGGGTGCTGGGATGATGGACAGGTGGATGGGTCGAGTTGAGTCTGTAGTGGCCATGCATGAGGGAACAGTGCAGTTGAAATGGTAGGGAAATGCAAATAACTGTGGGAATCTGACAGGACAACAAATGTAACTATGAGGTGAAGATGACTGGAAGATATCAAGCAATCAAATGGGAATTCGGCAAGAGAGATAATAGCAATGTTTAAATTGAACAAATGGTGATGGCCAAGTAACCGGCCGAAGTTTATGTGCATTGGAAAAAAAGACAATGAGATGGAAAATGGCAAGTTGACTGAATGTTCCAAATAAGGACAGAAAACCAGACAGGACCATGTTTAGTTGACTATAGTGGAAGCTGCCTATAAAATGCCAATGGAAAAGGAAAAATGGTTATGAAAAGTCTGAATGATAGCTGAAAATGAGAAATTGGGCATAGTGATGGGATATAAAGCAGAAAATGATAGTGGGAAGTGGATCAAGAATTGAAGGGAAAGCGAGAACTTGAGTATAGAGTTCCCACAGCAGCACAGAAGCAATGCTATTCTGGGAACCTCTTTCTATCTCACACCTCATATCACCTCATTTCATCCCCAACTCACATCACCTCATTTCATTCCCAACTCACATCACCTCATTTCATCTCACACCCCGTTTCATCCCAAATCGCCTCATCCCATATCACACTAACAACGCCTCATTCCATCTAAAAACCACAGCACTTCATCCCATCTCACCCTCCCATCACCTCATCCCATCCCACACTCCCATCACCTCATCCCATCTCCCACTCCCATCACCTCATCTCATCTCCCACTCCCATAACCTCATCCCATCTCACCCTCCCATCTCCTCAGGTCATCCCAGCCTCCACGAAAGAAAGTTGAGCACAACCATCAAGCTAAACAAGTGAGGATGGGGGAAGTTGGCAGGAGAACAGCGATGGCAAGCTGACCTGTAAAGATGAAAATGGAAAATTTGTGTGAAAAGTGGCAATGGGAAGCTGGCAGGACGCATGATGGTGAGAAGTGGATTAGAAAAGTGGCAAAATGGGAAGTTGAAGGCAGAAATGTAGGCAGATGGAAACTAAATTTGAAAGCTGATAACGCAAAAATGGCAACGGGAAGTTGAATGTAGATGTGATTGACTCTGCGGCCCTCCCATCTCATCCTCCATGGGTAATGGCGATGGGAAAAGAAGAAACGTCTGTCAGTCTCAACCCTCTTCCTGGTTGATTACTCCACATTTCTTCCCTTCTAACTTCACCCTGATGGTAGTGGGAACATGGCAGTGGGATGGTGAGAATGGGAACATGGCAGTGGGATGGTGAGAATGGGAACATGGCAGTGGGATGGTGAGAATGGGAACATGGCAGTGGGAGTTGTAGTCAAATTTAAGGCATGGACTATCCGCCTCGTGACTTCCTTACATTCATACCATTGCTGACTTCAAAATCACCATGATTGTTCAAGTTGGCAAAAACAAATGGTGATGGTCAAGTAACAGGAAAATGGCAATCAAGATTTGGCAAGATGAATGAAACTGAGAGGCAGACTGGAAAATGGAAATGGCAAGTTGAGTGATCATTGAACAAAAAATGAATGGGTAATGAGCAGGAAAGATGAAGAAGGAAAACCACGAGGAAAATGACAAATCGACTGGGAAACTGAAGGGAAGGGGTTTCAATTGGCAGTTTTCAGGCTACTTCCCTTGACTGATGACAAATGGTCAAGGGAAGTAGCCTGAAAACTGGCAACGACCAATTGGCTGGGAAAATGGGCGTAAATTGTTTGTAGAAGGAAATGGCTGACAAAGTGCAATGGTGCGTTGATTGACTGGACAAAAGGACAATGGGCCATTGACAACAAAAACGACAAATGAGAAGTTCCTATGGTACTGGGATGGGACGTGGAACAGGAAAACGGTAGTGGGGGGTGGACTGAAAAATGAGAAGGGAGAGCCAGATGTGCAGTATGAGTTACCCTTGCATTGGTGCTTCGCCATGTGTCCTCCCCAGCAACATGGCAGCAATGAGATGAGAAGATTTCATTTCATTTCTCACACTCACTCACCTTATTTCATCTCACACTCACATCACCTCAGTCCATCTCAGATTCTCATCATCTCATTTCACCTCGCACTCACATCACCTCATTTCACCTCGCACTCACATCACCTCATTTCACCTTGCACTCACATCACCTCATTTCACCTTACACTCTCATCAACTCGTCCCCACACCAGGCCAGGTCATCTGAGAATCCATGAGCACAACCAGCAAGCTGGCTGGATAAGTGAGCCGGCATTGGCAAGCTGACTGGAAAACAAATAAAGGAGAAATGGAGAATTGATGTGAAAATGGCAATGGGTGGGAAGCTGGCAGCTTAATGACAATGAGAAGTGGACTGAAAAATGGCAAAGGGAAGATGAATGCAAGGGACATTACTTCTGTCAGCCTCACAACGCTCCCACCTCCCCCCTCCACAACCCTCCACCTTCCTGATTGTGGGATGCTGACGGAGGGAACATAGCAGTGGATTATGGTAGTGGAAATATCACAATGCATTACGGTAGTGGGAATTTGGCAGTGGTCCATGACTGCCTCATGACTCCATCACATTCTTACCAGTTCTCCTATCATCCTGACAACTGCTGCTCATCCCCCTTGGCGAAATTGCAAAATTATGTTGTCAACCCAATCTTTCGCCAGCTTGTTTCAGTTGATACTTCATTCGTTTCATTGTGAACAACAGAACAAAATTTGTCATTGTGATCAGCCTGAACATTGCAGTTCAATCTTGCCATTAGGATCTGCATTGGACTGTTGCTAATTTTGACCATTGCAATTAACCATTGAGCAGGCGTTATGTTCAAAATCACCATGGTTGTTCAAGTTGGTGTTTATGAGAATCCTGATTAGACAGTATGAGTCCCACCTCAGCCTGAAACATGGTCAGCCTAACTCAAGACTCACTGTTTCACACTAATTCCCCCGTATGATGCTCTCCATTCACCCTCATACATTCCAGAGCATGAAAACATGATGCATATATTGAAATTACTAGAACAAACATGATTAACAGATCTAAAGTGGCTTCCTAACCATTCGTTTCTCTCCATCCACCCATCCAACATTCAATACCATCTTTCCCACAACATCCTGTCAGGCAGGATGGAAAAAAGGGGGTGTACCCCTACCACCATCATTCCACATCACCACCACCAGCTTTACCTTAGTTGCCATTGTGCCACTTATTCAAGGCTACACTTGACCAAGCTCTACTCACCCACCTCCTCATCCGCCTCATCCCTCTAGCCTTCACGTTTGATGCCTTAATTGCTGTTGTCCCTTCCACATTCACCTTTGCTGCATCATGCTTTTCAGATTTTGGCGTATGCTTCGAGGTTGTAACAGAGTTCTTGGCAGCAACTGCAGCAGTAGCAGCGTCAACAGGGACAACAGCAGCAGAAGCCTTCCTCATGTTGGACAGCCCAACAGGAGAACGGTGGCTGAGCTGCTTCGGCTGTTGGGCGTCCTCATGGATCCTCCCAACACGGCAGGCAACAGCATGGGCTTGAGCACCTTGCTGTCTGCTCTTCCATTTCCCTGCTGAGTCCTTAGAGCTAAATGTTGCAGTTTCAGGAGCCTTTTTTTGTGAGGCCTCGTTTCTGCTGGAGCTTTTTATCACTGAATCTTTAATGCTGGATTTTGCAGCAGAAGTGTTGTTTGCACTGCTGGAGCTGAAGGTGCAAACCATTACGCTCCTGTTGCTCTTGTTAAGATCATTCTTACTGGCAGCAGTTTTTTCAACCATAATCCAAGGCGAATTCTTGCCTGTGGAGCTAAGAAATTTGTCCTTGGACAGGAAGGTCACGTTTCCTTCATTGCTGCAGATGCTTTCGGCGTTTATGTACCGTTGACGGAATTCCAGCAAGTCCAACTCGCTCATATACGAGAATTCGTCTTCAGAATCCTCGGAAATCCGTGCCTTTTTGGCACTTGGAGCAGCAGCAGCAGCAGCAGGCGTGGATCGCTTGCGTGCTGCATCGCTCCAGCTGGGAGAGGCGGAAGCGGAGGCAGCAGGAAGATAGAGGCTTTTCAGTCCTGCTGGAACGCATCCGTGGTCCTCTTCCCAGAAGAAGAGGTCGTCGGGGTCAGCCTTGCTGCATGCAGCGAGGGTTTTCACGGCCATCAGCAGTCAGGTGCAAAGAGAACCTCGAGGCTTGAGGAAGGGGGTAGCAACGAGCTGTGTGAGTAAACAACGATGTGATTCAACTGAAATGAATGGGTGTCAGACGGGGTTTTCTACTCGTAGTTGTAAGAGCAGCATCGGTTCTGACAGGATGCTGAGGAGCGGCCCGTTCACTGACGAGCCGCTCTAGACGGCCGTGGAAGGGGGAGTTCCGTTGGCAACGGGAGTTTTCAGGTATGGTGCCGAGGCTAGGGCTCTGGTGCGTGCCCGTTTGCCACGGAGAATGTCGATATGGCAGATCTAATGGCATCCGAAGCAAACGATGTACTTACCGAAGTTCCAGCGATGCTCTACAGTAACGACGTGGCAAGTGAGAACTCTCCATGTGGTTCAGTCGGGCCCACAAATTTTGAATCCGTGGCTCGAAAATGCTCCCGTGGAGAGTTCTAGGCCTCCGAAGCATGAGGGTAAGATAGTCACACCTGGGCTTTGCGGTTCCACGTAATTTTTGCGAATCTGACTCGGGTTAGCGCTGACTTGGGAAACTGACATGGCGATTGCGCGCCACCGGCTGAAGGCGAATTCACTGAAGCGACCTGGGCTAATCAATCCCGACGCGACGCGCTGCGGCTAAGCGGACAGCGGGAGCGTTGAGGGTTGGCTAGCGAATATCGCGCCAGAGCCTTGGGAGTTCATGGGAGGTCAGGCTTTGAGGGGTTGTGTCTGTTCGTTAAGGGCGCGTTACGTTTGTTCGCGTTCAGTTTAGTGTGATGTTGCCCTGGTATGGTGTCTGCTCCATCGCTCCTAATCGTTTCTCACCGATCTGAAAACTGTTTTACATGATTTGTAAGCGAACTAGCTTGACCCGCCCTTGGTTCGTGAGTCGGAACCTGTCGAACGCGGTGTTTCCGGGACCAATTGTGCTTTGGCGACAAGGCTCTGGGTTCATTGCCGAACAAAACAGTATCGCGAGACAGAGTTGGTGGACCACGCAAGGTTTCGTTCAACAACCCATCCGGGCGAAACCAATGCAGCGGAAATCTGGCAGCGAATTCACGAAACGAAAAGGAACGCAGCAGAAATACTGTAGTTCGGGAACCGGGTAACTCCCTCCTACACCCAGCAGATTATCCGCTCTTGCGTAAGGCTTGGGTTGCGGACGAGCAAGGCAGCGTAATGAGCTCCCACAAAGTCAGATCGTCACTCTCATTTTTAGGTCTCGTTCAAACTCTGTCTAGGCTGCAAGGTCGCTGCAATCCGTCCCTAGCATCATTTTAGGGAAATGATGGAGACAGCGACACATATTAACGACCTTCCCGACGACATCCTCGCTAAGATACTATGGCATTGCGAGGAGTCAACACCTTGGAAACCCGACAGTGACGCGTTATGGTCTCGGCATTCATTGTCGCCGAAGCCATTGTACCTTCGCTCGTTCGTTTTAGACGAAGATCCAAATCATGAGGAAGACTCGTATCCAGTATTGTCCCCCTCCGTCGGTCCAACCGCTGCCAAGATCTTCCTCGTGTCGTCGGTGTGCCGTCGTTGGCGCGATGTAGCTCAGCATGACGTCTCCACCCTCCTCGTCGAACGACAACATGCCATTTCTCTCCAAGAACTCTCGAATGCCGTCGCGTGCTTCCCGAACCTCACCCATCTCCATCTGTGCGACGACAGCGTGGAAACCCTAGACGACACCTTCCTCGCTCACCTCGCATCATCCTGTCCTCAGCTCACGATTCTTCACGTGGGACGCGGGATCACTCATCATCCGGACTATGTTGGACCGAAGCGTAAGCACCCCATCACCGAAGCTGGTTTAGATCGCTTCTTCCAGCGATGCACTCAGCTGGAGCAGCTTTCACTGCTCTGCCTCCATCAGAATACTGAGCTACCTGCTTCGTTCTTCCGCCTCACGCGTCTACACACCATGGCTTTAACCGCCGCCTCCGCCTTAGAATCTCCAGATTTGGACAGCCTCAGCTCTCTCACCAATCTTCATATCGCCTGCAGAGGGTTAAAGGAGCAACTGGCCAACGTGCGTCGTCTTCCCAGCATCACCAGCCTTTCACTCTCTCCCTGGACCACGTTTTTTCCTGCCAGTGGCGACTCGCGCTCAGCTGCCTTCGCCATTGCACAGCTACCGCTGATCAAATCATTGGACACCCACCAACTGTGGCTGTCGGATTGGCCATTGACAAGTCTTGAACGGCTGCGGATATCAGACTGCGGAGAATTGGAGCGGCTTCCGGACAGCATTGCGGAGTTGCTGCTGCGTCTGCGTGAGCTGACCGTTTCCAGGTGTGAGGCCTTGGAGGAGCTGCCGGAGGGTGTCTGTTCCCTGGAGCACCTCGAGACCTTGTCACTCATCAAATGTGGCCTCGAATTTTGCCTGCCTGAAAACATCGGGCAATTGACTGCCCTGAGAACCCTGGTTCTGGAACAGCTGCCGCTGGCGAGCCTGCCTGACTCCGTGTGCCAGCTCAGCTCCCTGGAGACCTTCTTCCTTCTCTCGGCCGACCCGATCAGCGAGCTGCCAGCAGACTTCTGCTGTCTCACAGCCCTCACCACTCTCTGCCTCGGGGGAGTGGCGCTTCCAGCAGACATAGGACGCCTGAGTAACCTCCACACGCTGCTTGTGAGAGACATCTTCAAAGATCCGCATCTCCCGTGCTCACTATCCGAGATCGCATCGCTGACGAGGCTTGAGCTGAACGAGTGCAGCGTGGAGTTGCTACCAGAGGGCGTGGGGTCGCTCAGCAGCCTGCGCGAGCTGCACGTCTCGTCCTGCCATCAACTCACTGCCCTTCCAGCGTCCGTGACGTGCTTGACTGCCCTGGAAGCTCTCTCACTCGCTGACTGCCCAAATCTGACCTCGGCACCCACAAGGCTGGACGGCTTGACACGGCTCAAGCGGCTGGAGGTGGCCCGTTGTGACAGGCTGACACGGCCTTCTCAAGTCCTGCCGGCGTCCATTGAATGCCTGAGTTGGGGAGGTTGCCTGCATGCGATGGTTCTGCCAGACGTCTCCACGCTGATGGGGCTTCGGACGCTTCGCCTGGAAAAGGTTGTGGTGGCGTGCGGGGTCGCTGTGAGCAGGAGCCTATCGCACCTGGAGCATTTGCAGCTGAGATTGGCATTCTATGCGGAGGAGCTTCCATTCGCCTTGACGTTCCTCTCTCGGCTGCGCACGCTGATTGTTGAGTGCGCGGAGAAGCTCCAAAGGCTGCCGGCCGACATCGGGGCAGCACTGCCGCAGCTGCGGAAGCTGAGGCTTTTAGATGTGTACGAGTTGAGGGAGCTGCCAGCGAGTGTGAGTGCGCTGCAGCACCTGACGTCCTTGCGGGTTTACGGTGCACGCAAACTGGCCTCTCTTCCGGATGACATGGGTGCCTTATCCAGGTTGCGCGAGCTGCACCTCAATTCCTGCAAGCAGCTGGAGCATCTGCCTGCCTGTCTCACCCAGCTCACCCGCCTGAACGAGCTGACCATCTCAGGCTGCCCCATCCGCTCCCTGTGCCCCACCTTGTCCCAGTTCAGGCGGCTCAGAGACCTCTCTTTGTCATGCTGTGCGCAGCTGGAGGCATTGCCGGGGGATTTGAGTGAGCTCAAGGCACTGCGGATACTGGATGTGGAAGTGTGTTGGCAAGTGACGGACACAGATGGGTCTGTGCTCCCCAGGAGCATCAATGAGGTGTACGGGCTGAAAATATGCACAGCAAGGTACTGAAGCGTGTTGTCATGTCTGTGAGGCTGTTTCCTTAACTGTAATGTCTTTGAGGTGGGCAGGGCAGATACTGTAGATTATTAAAAACTGGAAGAATGATGCCGAGGGTACCGGTATTTACTTCACTGGTTGACTGCTGCTGCTGGTGTTTACCACCACTGCCATCTCTGTTACCAGGACCACCCTTCGCCACTGCTGCCAGTCTAATCACGCACCACCTTCACATTGCTGCTGCCAGTCTAATCACATACCACCTTCACACTGCTGCCAGTCTTATCACATACCATACCACCTTCACACTGCTGCCAGTCTTATCACATACCATACCACCTTCACACTGCTGCCAGTCTTATCACATACCGGTACCATACCACCTTCACCACTGCTGCCGTTGGATAGGTTGAAGAATGGTACCCTGATTGGAAAAGTGTGAGTTCTGTGTTTTTTGTGAGAGAAAGCTGATATCAAAACAGTGGAAACTGCACTCCACTTTGCCCGTTATACAGTACATTATGACTTCTGTTTCAATAATGCTCTGTGCACCATATTCCCCCAAATACACGCCCCAAGCTTGAACCTTAAGCCTGAATCACTTATTTGCACCAGCCAACACACCCTCCTTCCTCCTGGCTTCCCACACTTCTCCCACCATAAGCGCCTTACTCCAGTCGGCATCACTGACCTCCCATCTCCTCCTGAACCGCACGTCGGAGTGGCTGAAGAGGCACGGCAGGGACAGTACCCTGGCGGCATGGCGGTCCTTCCTCGTGACCAGGAAGTACCGCGGCACCAGCATGTGCGGCAGGCTGCGCAGCAGCACGTTGGGCCACACCCTGATGTCCTCCTTGCTGCGCATCATCTCCCCGAGAACAAACTCAATCTTCGGCCGGAGTGTGCTGTGCCGCACCTGTATGATCCCCGGCTCGCGCTGAACCATATCTAGGGTAACTTCCTCGCCAAAAATGTCGATAAGTCCGAACATGGCCTCTTCGATTGTGCGAGGGGAGACGGTGAGCAGGGCTGGGTGGCGGGCGAGCACGTAGGACGTGCCTTGTGGGCCAAAGAGAGTGGTGAGTGTGGTTACCACATCCTGCATGGTTTTCTTTTTGGCATGGAGAATGTGTGGTTGCCTGCACACGAGGGAGAGCACTGCTGCATCCGCCGAGAATGAAAGAGAAGGATCGAGAGGAGGGATCGGGAGAAGAGAGGCAGAGTGAAGTCTTATCTTCCTTCTCGCTCTCGCCTCTCCATCCCCTCCTCCACTTCCGTTTTCACCTCCCACCCCCTCTTGCGCTCCTGTCAGCGGCACAATCTCAGCCAATCGCGAAAGCCTCTGTTTGAGGGTCTCAGGAGAAAAGCGGAGGGCGAGGGGGTAGCGGAGGAGGAGGGAGTGAGGGGGGGCGAGGATGGAGTGCATTGCGGAGAGGTGCAGCAGGAGCGAGGGCAGGGGCGTGCGGAAGACACGGCACGCAGCCGAGTGCAGCAGCTTGGCGACAGTGGGGGGAGGGAGGTGCAGGAAGAGGAACTGCAGCACCTGCTGTATGTGAGGGAGATCGGTGGAGGGGAGGTGGGAGGGAGCGGCGCTGGGAAGAGACTCGTGGGAGTGAGAGAGAGGTACAAGTGCGTGTTGCTGCTGCTGGTGCTCTGGGTCGAGCAGCGCTTGCTGCAGGTGAGGCGAACTGAGCTGTTGCTCTGGAATGGAGTCGATCTCATGGCTGTCACTGCTCTTGTTGCTGCTGTCATTGCTGCTACTGCTGCTGTTGTCACTGCTGCTCGTTCTGCTACTGCTGCTGCTGCTGCTGCTGCTATTGGTTCTACTGCTGCTAATGGTTCTGCTGCTGCTGCCGTTGCTGCTGACGTCATCCAGCCGGGCATCCAGAATCAGCTCGGGCACCCGCCGGATGACACTCAGAAACAGCGACTCGGGCAGCCCGTGGGCAGAAAAGATCTCAAGAGCTGCCCGGATGCGGTGGGTGAGCGGCACGAGGAAGAGCGAGGAGCAGGCGCGGAAGATGGCAGCGAGGGTGTGGGGCGGGGCGTGCAGGGCGAGCAAGGCCATGGCGTTGTCCCTCGTGGCTCGCTGCGAGGCGAAGGGCGGGGCCATGTGCGCGAGATGCGTGGAGTAGAGGTCTTGGAACTGCGCGTGTAGCGACGGTGGGGGCGAGGAGGGGGGAGTGGGTATGGGGGTGGGAATGGGCGTGTGGGGGGAGGAGAAGGTGTTGAGGGCAGCGTTATCATCATGAGAACGTCCACTGCTGCTGAGACCATGGTGGAGCTCCTCCAGCTCGGAAGCACCGCCCATCTCATCCTGCTGCTGCTCTTCGCTCCAGACAGCACTCCCATCGCTGCCACCACCCCGCCCGTTCGCTTCCCTGCCAGCACCAGCAGACGGGACAGCAGCACCACGATCAGAGACGACTTTCCGCGGCCTCCCCCTCCTCCTCCGCTGGCTGTGCAGCCTCGTCCCATCAGCGCCCTCGGCTTCCGCACCCACTGCTCCTTCACTACCCTTCCTCCCATCCTCCGCACCACCTGCCTGATCCTGCCTCTCACCCCCTTTCCTTTCATCTGCTTCGTTCCCCTTCTCCCCATCTCCTCTTTTCCCCCTCCCCTCCGCTCCTCTTTTCCCCTTTCGCTCATTTCCACTCTTCCCCTTCCCCTCCTCTCCTCTTTTCCGCTTCCCCTTCTCTCTTATCCCCTTCCCCTCGTATCCATCAACGAAACCTCGCCTTTCTGCCACGTGGCACATCGATCTCCACGCCCCCACCCTCCACCTCGTACTCGCTACTATCAACGCCGCTTCGTGCACAGGCCACACCCGCGCATCCATTCCATTCACGAACCACAGCTGCCCTTCCCTGCCGCCTCTACCTCCCATGTCGTCCCACAAAGCCTGCCTTCTCATTTCTCCAGCATGTATTGCTGATGATCGAGGTGCGGGTAGTGGCAACGTTAGAGGTAATGCTAATGCCGATGCCGATGCCGATGCTGATGCCGATGCGGATGCTGATGCCGACGCTGATGCTGGTCTACTTTCTGCTACCGTGGATGCCAAACCAATAAGTTTCACTCCGTCCCTTGGCTGCTTCGCTAGCCACCACGGAGCAACGGGGCTAGCACAACTCGGAAGTGCTCTTATCGAGCAGCTACTGTAACGGAGCAGCCTATAGGCGCGCAGATACGCCGTGCTGGAACTCCCGCCACACGGGTCGCGCGGACAGTGCGGATTACCGAGCCCGATCCAATGCCGCACTGCTGACGTGGACGCGTAAGCGCAGCGTGTCGCGATCCGCCGAATCCTTTCAGATCCGCGCATCACAGCGGCGAGCGCGCACCACACGAATGAGCCCGAGCGCGCGGCGCCTTATCCATGGGCGCGAGCGCCGGACGGCGAATCGAGTCGAATGAAGAGCGATCCCCCCACGACTCTCTCCGGCTTCTCCTGACCTCGCTTCACGGTGGAAAGGCGCTTGGCGCGGTGTCGCTGGAGGGACTGTGCGATGGGTTCGGGCTCGTAATCTCAGCGGAGCTGTTATCTGTGCAATAAAGCGTAGCGCGTCGGGAAATGGCGAGCGACCATACACGCCAGCCGACGGTCCCGAGCAAATCGGATCAACAGCATCGCTGCTTTGCAACAGGCAGTGAGTTGCGTCGCAAAAGTAGCAGCAGTATGCTCATCATGGGGGACAGATTTGCACCTGCCCTTGGAGAGGGCCTTCCCGATCGGGAATGTGCGAGGGGTTCAGGGTTCCGCCGCACCTGTTTCGCAAGGTGTTTTTCAAGTTTTGAAGTTCAACTTTCGTGAGTTCCCCCGCGTGTACCACAATGAACCATTGCGGTTATCGATTTTGTTTTACCGATGCTCCGCCCCATGCACAACATTCGAGCTGTGGTCGCTCCCTCTTCACCCACTCGTGTTATCCACCCTCAGGAGTCATGGCGCAATGGCCGTCCTTACCTCGTACCTCCACAGTGCGACCATCAGAACCTTTGAACTCGGTGCACGTGGAGAGTCGTCAGCGCATGTCGCATCGTAGCAACCCATGCCCATCATCAGCTGCATCTCGTGTGAAAACCCTCCAATGCGATGGAGCGGTTCAGCCACAGCGAATCTCCATTGCCGCGACCCATCATGCGCATCTTGCGCTGCATCCAATGCCCGGCGCGCAGTCTCGCATCGCCAGGAGTTTCGGCGGCGAGCATGGCGTTGAGTTGCCTGCATGCTAGCCCACAACGGCGCTCCCTGACCTAACATTCGGGGAGGCTCGAGATTGCACTGGAACTACTATTTTTGCGGTAAAGCGTAGAGCGTCGGGACATGGCGAGCGACCATACACGCCAGGCGACGGTGGCCTGGCGGCCTGGAAGGAACCACCAGCTTATGCCCACCGCCAGCCATTTATCCCAAGCAAATTGGATGAGGCTGGTTCATAGCAACGCTGCCTGCAAGAGCCAGTAACGCCTGTGGGCTAGTGCTAGAGGGTATAACAGCCAATGAGTTGCGTCGCAGAGTAGCAGCAGTGCGATTATCGTTGAAAATGGAGGAGAGTCCGTATGGGAGCTTCTTGCGTATGGATCCCAACTACTTTCCGGACGAAGACGACGGAGTGGCGCCGATGGACTTCGGCGAATCTTCTGGAGCAGCAGCAGAACCAGCGGCAGCACCACCAGCAGCACCACTGGCAGCAGAACCAGCGGCAGCCATCGATAATGGCGACGAAGATCTTTTCGCTCGCCTCCTGCGCGACTATCGTGGGGCTCGTACAAAGCGGCAGCAGCTCGACGCCATCGTGTCGTGTCTCTTCGTTGCCAACGCCATGTGCGACTGGCCCGACTCGGGCGGGGACGATCAGAAAAGGTCGTTCTGCGGTTTCAGCGTCTTCCGCCACATGCCGTCCGCCGAGGAGTCTCAGAAGCTACTCGATGATCAGGGGGTGGGCAGGAGCACGGATGTGGAGCACGCGAGCGTGTCAGGTGGGTGGTCGAATCAAATAACTGGGTGCGACGCAGTTAAGGCATGCTGTCTTCGGCTGCTCCCTGCAAACGTGAGTTGAGCGGAGCTGCGCTGCTCGGCAACCATGCCACTTACTCACCTCCACGCGCTTTGGTTACCCCCCATGCGCCTCGCTCTCTACTGGCAGACGCCTTCTTTCTCATGGAGCACAGCGGGCCGCGAGGGCCCCCCACGATCTGGGAAAGCTTTAGCGGGAAAAAGAGCTACCCTCCAAAGCCCGTGACGGTTACTGTACCGCCCCACTTGCTACCACGGCTGTTGGCCGGCGCCGAGGCATGGTCATCGGGTGCGGGTGCGAGTGCGGGTGCGGTCCCCATCCCACAGAGCGGCGTTCTTGAGACCAAGCTGGGCATGCGCAACACTCGAACCAAACGTCAAGGCGACGAGGTCTGTCATGCCCTCCCTCCTCGCTTTGCCCTCTGCTCTCTCTCGTTTCTTTGTCGCCGCTGCTTTATCTCGCCTCTCACCTTACCTCCCTCGCCTCTCTTCTCCCCTGCCTCCCTTGCCGCCAAGTCTCCCCTTATCCCCTTATCTTTTCCCCATGATGACAATAAAAAAACCTTGACCAATCTCTGTTCCTCCTACCCCCTCCTTAACACGTAGGCCCCGGTGGGAGGATGGCTAGGAGCATGTGTGTGCAGGAAAGGGTAACAAGCGAGGAAGGGCATGCGTGAATTTTCTTGCCATTTTCCCGTGCCGTGCCGTGTTGTCACCCCTTGTGTGTGTCCCTTCCCATCCCGTCGATGCCGTCCATCGCTGGTGCTCCTCCCAGCTGCCGCCCCTCAGCGCGTGGGAGTACTACCTCTGCGAGCCCCTCGCACTGTGCCGCCGATCCACACTGCCACAAGCACCCTTGGAGCACCAGGTGTTTGAAGAAGTGTTTTGAGACGTCTCAAAGCACCCTTGGAGCACCAGGTGTTTGAAGAAGTGTTTTGAGACGTCTCAAAGCACCCTTGGAGCACCAGGTGTTTGAAGAAGTGTTTTGAGACGTCTCAAAGCACCCTTGGAGCACCAGGTGTTTGAAGAAGTGTTTTGAGACGTCTCAAAGCACCCTTGGAGCACCAGGTGTTTGAAGAAGTGTTTTGAGACGTCTCAAAGCACCCTTGGAGCACCAGGTGTTTGAAGAAGTGTTTTGAGACGTCTCAAAGCACCCTTGGAGCACCAGGTGTTTGAAGAAGTGTTTTGAGACGTCTCAAAGCACCCTTGGAGCACCAGGTGTTTGAAGAAGTGTTTTGAGACGTCTCAAAGCACCCTTGGAGCACCAGGTGTTTGAAGAAGTGTTTTGAGACGTCTCAAAGCACCCTTGGAGCACCAGGTGTTTGAAGAAGTGTTTTGAGACGTCTCAAAGCACCCTTGGAGCACCAGGTGTTTGAAGAAGTGTTTTGAGACGTCTCAAAGCACCCTTGGAGCACCAGGTGTTTGAAGAAGTGTTTTGAGACGTCTCAAAGCACCCTTGGAGCACCAGGTGTTTGAAGAAGTGTTTTGAGACGTCTCAAAGCACCCTTGGAGCACCAGGTGTTTGAAGAAGTGTTTTGAGACGTCTCAAAGCACCCTTGGAGCACCAGGTGTTTGAAGAAGTGTTTTGAGACGTTTCAAAGCACCCTTGGAGCACCAGGTGTTTGAAGAAGTGTTTTGAGACATCTCAAAGCACCCTTGGAGCACCAGCCTCTCTCGCCGCCAGCAGCACAGCGAGTGGCAGCGCAGCCAAGGCGGCGCACACAGCCCCAGTCTCCGTCACTCTCCCCCCCTTCTTCACCAGCAGCCAAGACCACTCCGAAATCCCTGCACTTTCAGCCGCTCACTCTCGTCTACATCTCTGATTCAGCGCTGCCATCACCCCACCGCCCTCCTGTTGCCCCTGCCTCTGCACGCCCTCCCTCCTGTTCTGCTGTCGCTGCTCTTTCTCTCGCTGCTGTGTCTGTTGGCCCTGACTCCATTAACACTCGCGCCTCGCCTTGCCTGCTGCCATCGCCCACTTGTGGTAACAGCAACGCCGGCTCCTCTTCACGGGTCCCTGATGGCCCCCAAGCCACAGCACCTCTTTCCGTGGCACCTCTCATTGTGCCGAACCAACTCCCTCAGCTCCTCTCCGCACCCCTCGAACCAACCCCCTCGGCACCCCCCGCATTCGCCCTTCCCCCCTCAGCACCATCCCCCTCAGCAGCCTCCCCCTCCGCACCCTCCCCCTCTGCACCCTCCCCCTCGGCACCATCCCCCTCCGCACCATCCCCCTCCGCACCATCCCCCTCCGCACCATCCCCCTCCGCACCATCCCCCTCCGCACCATCCCCCTCAGCATTCCCGTAATCGGCACCACCTCCTTCATCACCACCTCCCTCGCCACCGCTCCCCTGGGCACCCCACTGCCCTGCATCTCGCCCATCTCGTCGCTGCCACCACTCATGCCATCCGTGCCCGGGGTCCTATGTCCACCAATCAGTGCTTGTAAAGATCTTACCGTTTGTGTCGGAGATAGTTGCAAGATATGCTGAGGGGTGGGGTAGTGGGGATCGGCAGGGGATCGTGTCCTTTGTGCCGAATGCGAGTGCGCATGGAGTGGCTGGTGGAGAGGGGCTGCGTCTGTCACGTGAGGATGTGAGGGAGCTGAATGAGAAGCTGATGAGAATGGGTGTTGGCGGGCGGCACTTGGATGCCATTGTGGATGAATTTGGATGGACTCTGCTGCACGTTGCTGCTCGAGGAGGAGATATACATGTGGTGAGCTGACTTTGTCTTATCCTTTACCTGCCTCCTCTCCCTCCCTTCCCCTCTTCTTTGTCTGCTTGATTTTGTCTTCTTTCGGCCTTTTTCTCCCTCTCTCTCCACTCTCTCCCCTTTTCTTTTGCACTCTGATGCTCTCATTACCTTCCCCTGCCCCTTCCACATGCCGTGCATGTCACTACAGGTGCAGGCGCTATTGGGGCTGGGCATTCCGGCTGGAGTGCGAGCAGGCAACCTCACCACGCCCATGCATCAAGCAGCGGGGAGGGGCCACGTGGCGTGCATGGAGCTGCTGCTACATCACGGTGCCGACATCCGTGCCGAGACTAAGGGAGGCTGTGAGTCACCAGGAGGCATGCGTTGCTGTCGCTTATCACCTTCCTCCCGGCACTGCCGGGCGTTGTACGGCTACTTGCTCATTCCCTCTCCCCCTGCCTTTCGAATTGTTGTTTCCCACGGCATCCCTCCCTGCCCCGCGCCTCCCGTGTGCCACTCCTCCAGGGACCCCGCTGCACAACGCAGCCAGCAATGGCAAGTGGTGCGCAGTGGAGTGGCTGGGGCAGCAGAGAATCGAACCTGAGGAGGTGGAGACCAACCCTTCGCCGCACCTGCTGCCTGACCATCTCCTGAGGAGGGCGCGGCACATGTTGAGCCAGGAGCGGAGTAGAAGATTCATGGAGGAGGTGATTAATTAGGGCTTATGCCGGTAACTGCATGGTGCAGTGGAGACTCTTGTTCTGATAAACAAAAATCTCTAACGAGCAAACAATAAAGTACCGTAACAGGGGATAGCTAGCGTAGCTGCTACTGCCATTTTGAAATGGCTTTCAGTATGGAATGGTGTCTGCATACATACTGTTGCCATGGCTTGACTTGCTGGTTGTTTGCTTCTAGTTTGCTTCTTGGTATCACAAATCTCAACACCTGGAGCATACGGTAAAAAGTACCGTATCTCTTGCTTGTTTGTTCATATACTCCGATGAGTTATTCAGGGTGATCAGGGCGTTGTGCGTGTAGTAAGTGCGATTTTGGGACCACATACGTTTCAGTTTCGAGTATGGAAACTTGCTCGTTATGAGTTACTCCTTTATCTATACGCACCCGTGCAGGACCCCATTCACTGTGGATTTACTCGCTTTATAGTGAAAGTTCCCATTCACCTCTGTCGGGGCAATCTGCTTGCTTTGCCTCCCTGCCCGATTCTGCTTCATCACCCATCCAGAAGGAAATGCACTCGCGCCTGTCCTCCTCTCGAGTACCTGCCTCGAAGGCGGCGCGCGTGGAGGTGCGTCAGCCTCACATCATGCGCTGCGATCTGCGCGCAGTCTTTGCTGCGCCCGCAATTTCGGCCTCGTGCATGGCGTTGGCATTGTGTTGCCTAGATGCTTCACGCCCTCGGCCTGAGATGAGTCAAGGCTCGAAATCGCAGTGGGACGGTACGTCCCTGTGTGACGGGGTGATCCGTAGGCGCAGCGGGAAGTGGTGACCGGCCATACACGGCAACCGATGGTCGCGTGGCGCCCAGGAACGACCAGCATAACACACCCGTCACCTCGTGCCGTTTCTCTCGCGCAATTCAGATCAGACGAGCCTCACCGTGTGCTTGCAGCAGCCAGCGAGGCGCGTCCGACGAAGAATAGCAGCAGTGCGTTCGTCGTCGCAATTATCGACGACGAGTCACGAGTAGCTGGTCTCTTCTCGAACCGCCGGCAAAAGTGTCGCAGCGGGTGTGCGCCAATGGCCGACCTGCATCAGAAATTCGCGAGTCTTGGTTTTGACGACGCGGCAGCGCATGGTCAAACTTCTGACGCCCTTGAAAACGAGTCCCGTGAAGCACCAGTAGCAGCAGCAACAGCAGCCGACGACGATGATGGCGTTGACGATCTTTCCGATCGCCTCTCGCGTGTCGTTCGCGAGGCGACGACAGAGCAGCAGCGGCTCGACGCGATCGCGTCGACTGTGTTCGCCGCCAACGCCATGTGCTTCTGGCCCGACTCGGACGCGCACAGGCCGCAAAGGGCGTTCGGCTTCCGCGTCCTCCGCGCCATGCCGCCCGCCGCGGAGTCGTTGGAGATGCGCGGTGAGTTGGGGGGTGGTCGAGCAGCGGGCGGGCGAGCAGGGGAGTGCGCAGCCGCTCGGGAGTCGTGGGGGAAATTTGAAGGCGATGAGCGTGTGAGGGTGTTAGTGTGTGAGACGTGGCAAGGCTGGCTGGCTGGCGTTTTGGTTGCTTCAAGCCAACGTGCGCTCAGCAGAGCTCGGCTGCTCGGCAGCCATGGCTCTCCTTCACCTCCATACGCTCGCGCCGCCCCTTGCCCACTCACCCCCCATGCCCACCCTCATACGCCCTCCCCTCCTATACCCTTCCCACTCAACCCCTTCCCCCCATCCCCTTTTCCCCCATCCCCTTTTTCCCCTCCCTCCCATGCGCACCGCCCGTCCCCACCTGTATGCCGCCCACTCCATACCATCAGGCACGTTCGTTCTCATGGAGCGCAGCAGCGGGCGAGCCCCCTCCACGGACTGGGAGAGCTTCGGTGGGGAGAAGAGTCACAAGGCACGGAGCGTGACGGTGACCGTGCTGCCCCTCGTGCTGCCGTGGCTCTCCGCCAGCGCAGCTGCCACACTGCAGCATGGCTGTGTTGCCACCCACGTGGCCGTGCACTCCACTCGAACCAAGTCCCAAGGCACCCAGCCCCAGCTGGGTATGCCATGCCTGTTCCTCCTTGCTGAGCCCCTCCCTTGTTGTCGCCGCTGTATTCTATCCGGCCTCCCTCATCCCTCCAATCGCACCGAACACTTTTTAAAGTGATAGTGAATCTGCTTTGAGACGTCTTAGAAAGATTTCATCTGTCCCCCCTCCCTCATCTCTGGAGGCGCCTCAAAAGTCGTTTTAGAAAGAATTCATTTGTCCCCCCCCCTCATCGCCCACATCTTCCTTCCATGCATCCCTTCCTCCTTCCCTCGGATCGGATGCCAACAAAGCTGTCAGCGCTGCTGCGCCCATTACAGCGGCCCCGCACGGAGCAGCAGCTGGGCGAGGAACAGGTGCTGCAGGTGGGCGTGCGCACACGGTGGGGAGGAGGGCATGCGTTGCACGTGCACCCATTCCTGCTTCCACCCATTCCTGCTTCCACCCATTCCTGCTTCCACCCATTCCTGCTTCCACCCATTCCTGCTTCCACCCATTCCTGCTTCCACCCATTCCTGCTTCCACCCATTCCTGCCTACTGGTCAATTTATTTTGCCCCCTCAAGGTACTTGTGCCTTCTTCCTCCTCCTCATCCCTTGTCATTTTGCCACCTTCGACTTCCTTTACTCTGTTCCCTGACTGTCACCCCCTCTCGCGTGTCACATCCCATCCCATCCCATCCACGCCATCCACCGCTCGGCCTTCCAGCAGCCCGCCCTCACGGCATGGGAGTATTACCTCTGCGAGCCCCTCCCACTCTGCCGCCGATCCACCACACTGCCACAAGCACCATCAGAGCCACAGCCCCCCTCGCTGCCAGCAGCACAGCGAGTGGCGGCGCAGGCAGAGCTGCATGCACAGCCCCAGTCTCCGTCACTGTCCCCGCCCTCGTCACCGGCAGCCAAGACCACCACACAGCCATCCGTGCACTTTCACCCACTCACTCTCGTCTACATCGGCGATTCAAAGCTGCCGCCACCCCACAGCTCTCCTGCTGCCCCTGCCACTACACCCTGTTCTGCTGCCGTTGCTCTATTGCCCACTGCTGCATCTGCTGACCCGGACACCACTTCCGCTCGTGCCTCGCCGTGCCAGCTGCCATCACCCCGTTCTGGTAGCAACACCACCGGCTCCTCTTCACAGCTCTCTGCTTCCCCCACAGTACCCTTCTCCCCGGCACCCCTCATTGTGCCCACCCGAGCCGTGGCACCTCTTTCTACCACACCCTCCTCCTCGCCCCCTCCTTGCTCTGCACCTAGCCCATGCTCTGCAACGCAAACACTTGTCGACATCATGCTTATCAGGGACATCACATCGTTCGTGTCTCAAAGGGTGTCTTCAAATGTTGCGAAAGAGGCGAGCAGGAACCCGCAGGGTGTGTCGGATGCAAGTGGGCACGGATCGGCAGATACAGATGCGCCTGGTCTGTCGGATGAGGATGTGGAGGAGCTGAATGGGATGCTGAAGAGATGGGGAGTTGATGCTGACGCAAGGCACCTGGACAGCATTGTGGATGAGTATGGAAGGACTGTGCTGCACGTTGCTGCTCGCGACGGGGATGTACTTGTGGTGGGTTGTCTTTGTGCTCTCTTGACTTATCCTTTCCCCTCTTCCTCTTCTTTTTCCTCTCCTTCTGCCCCCACCTGCCTGTTGTCCTCCCTCCCCCCCCCCCGCGCCCTCTCTCTTCTATGCTCGTCTATGCCTCGCCTCTCCATCACTTTCTGTGGTTCACAACAGTTTGCTACCGTCCTTTGCCGCTATGCCCTGCCCATGTGCTCCTTTGCTTCCTGCATGTCCCTACCTGCATCTCACCCCATCACTAATGCATGATGCATTTGCCACCATCACTCCAACCCTTTTCCTCTCGCCCACCTTTCCTCTGCTTCGCTGCGGCCCAGGCCATCTGCCCACCACACATCACCAGCTGCATTTGCCGCTGCAATCACAGTCCCCCATTTGCCTCCAGGCCTGAGCCACATTAGTCAGTGCACATTTTGTCAGCTACAAGAATGGAAAAGATTCGTTACAAGGTACCCACCCATGTGTTTGGCCGAGCAGAATGAACAGTGCCACCTCCTGCTTCTTCCTCTCCACCGCCCTCCCCCTTTCTCCCTGTCATGCCACTGCAGGTGCAGGCGCTATTGGGGCTGGGCATGCCGGCTGGATTGCGCACGCACAACGGCAGCACGCCCATGCACCGAGCAGCGTGGGGGGGACACGTGCCGTGCATGCAAGTGCTGAAGCGCTATGGTGCCGACATCCTTGCTAAGACTGACTATGAGTGTGAGTGACAGGGATCCACCCGTTGTTGCCTCTTACTGTCTCTTTCTCTGCAGTATCATGTGCAGTGCAGCTACTTCCTACCATTGTTGCCCCTCACTGCATCCCTCCCCTCTCCTCCACTATAGCACTCTTCCCCTTTCTCCTCCCTTGCACTTCTCCTCCCTTGCACTTCTCCTCCCTTGCACTTCTCCCCCCTTGCACTTCTCCTCCCTTGCACTTCTCCTCCCTTGCGCTTCTCCTCCCTTGCACCGTGGCCCCAGGGACACCGCTGCACAACGCAGCCAGGCAGCAGCAGTGGGATGCAGTGGAGTGGTTGGCGCAGCAGGGGATAGACCCCCAGGCGTTGAAGAAGCCAAACATGCAGCCTGACCATCTCTTGGCAAGGGCATTGCAAATTGTGAACGAGGAATGGCGTACCCTATTCCCCCAGAGAGAAGGCCCCTCGCAATCGAAGACCGCCGGGTAGCAGTGCTCTAGACTGCACTTTGGCGACTTTGGACAAACAGGGTGTGTGTGTACCCTGGCTACATGGAGATTCGTTAGGTGGTACATTTTGCACCAAACTCTGAAATCAGTATACTGCTGTAATCCCCCGGCCCGGATAAACGAACCAACTCATTTGAAAAAACGGGTGTGGCCTGGATCCGACTCAGATCGTGACTTTTGGGGTTGAGGGCTGTGCCGCAAGTGTGTGACCCTGTTGGAACAACGTTTTTTAAGTTTATTGTTTTTTTTCGAAAGTTGGTCCGGGTGTACCATATTTGAAACCGTTCCTTTTATCGGTTCCTCTCTTTTCGACGCGGAACTTTGTCGAGTCGAGGCAACCTCGACACTCCCACCACCTCCTCGAGCAACCTCGATGTTATCTGGTCGCCAAGCTCGTCATCCAGTGCATGGTAGTATGGGCTGATCGGAAATCCAGTACATATAGGCTATCCTTCCCTCGTACCTCCTCGTGAGCGCACGAATGAACCCCCTGGATTTGGTGCATGTGGAGAAACGTGTGCAGATGTCGCATCGCAGCAAACCATCATGCCGATCATCATCAGGAGCATCTCGCGTGAAATCCGGAGCACATGGCAGGCCACGTCCGCCACATCGCATCACAGCGCGCGATCATGCCGATCATGCAAATCATGCCCATGTGCGCTGCATCCCATCGTTCCGCGCGCAATCTTTTCGCCGAATCTCGCCGGCGATCATGGCGTTGCGTTGCCTGCTTGCACCCGCTCAGCCTGCGCTGAAATTGGCCAATGCTGGAAGTCGCGATTGGATGGGACGTCCCTGTGGCGCAGCGGGAAATGGTGAGCACCATACACGCCAGCCGAAGGTCTCGTTGCGGCAAGAATCACCGTCAGCGCCTGGCGTTGTTCCCGAGCGATTCAACGGGCCTAATAATCTACCGTTGCTGCAGTCTAGCAGTGCTTTCCCTTCCCTTATCTTCGAGATCCTGGAAACTAGCGGCGAGTCCAGCGGAAAGCGATTCTGGTTCTGCGCAGATGGAGTTGCAGCTAGGAGACGGCGGCGGATGGCCGGCGGTGGAGGAAAAATTCGCGAATCTCGGTATTAGCGGTTCAGCTGCTGCTCGTGGTCGTGAGTCGTTTCAACACGAGGCAGCAGCAGCAGGAGCAGCAGCAGCAGCACCGCTACGAGTAACAGCAGCAGCCAACAATGATGGCGGCGAAAGCCTTTTCCAGCGCCTGTCGCGCGAAGTTGAGGAGGCGGATACTGAGGAGAAGTTGCTCGACGCCATCGCGTCGTGTCTCTTCTTCGCCAACGCCATGTGCGACTGGCCCGAATCGGACGCGGACGCGCACAGGGTCAAAGAGGCGTTCGGCTTCCGCATGCTCCGCAGCATGCCGTCCGTGGCGGAGTGTCGGAAGATGCGCGACGAGCAGTGGAAGAGCAGGCGCACGGGCGTGCAGCACGCACAGGGGAGTGAGGGAGAGAGCGGTAAGCACACGCTCCCGTTTCGGCAGCTCTATGTAAACGCGAGTGGCTTACACAGCACTCAGCCCGACACGCTGGCTGGACCACTCCTGCCCACCCCGCCACGCGCATCCCCTTGAGTGCTCCACCCATGCCCACCCCCATGCGCAGCACCCTGTGGCGCAGACTTGTTCTTTCTGCTGGAGCGGCGCAGCAGTGGGCGAGACGCCAACACGCACTGGAACAGCTTCGGCGGGCGTGGCAGCTACGGGCAAAGGGAAGTCAAGGTCGCTGTGCCGCCCGCCTTCAGGTCCACCGAATTGCTGACGTGGGTGCCTGCCCACCGATGGCAGGAGGATGGCCGCCTTCGCACCATGCTGGCCACGCGCCAGGCCGGACTTAATCCCGCTGGGCAAGCGGCAGCAGCGCAAGTGGTAGCTGGGCAGGCGGCAGCAGGGCAAGCGACATGTGGGCAATCGCCAAGCAAGGTCCGCCATTGGCTTCGTCCTCCCTCGCATTCCCGTGTCATCTCTCTCGTCTCGTCCCTAATCTCGCGCCTCTCCCGCTTCGCTCCATGTCCACCTTTTTTATCCAAATTTCACTGATGGATTGAAGTATTTGCTGACCAACCCAACCTCTCCATCCTCCCCCCTGTTTCCTCCCCAACCCTGATTCGCCTGACACAGAAGCGCCGCGACGCATCAGGTGGGAGCTGTACGTAGCGAGCAGGTGTCAGATGGGTGGGGGGCATGCGGGTATCATGCATGCATGAGCAATCATTCTTGTCCAAGGTGTCTCCTCGAGCTGCTGCTTCTGTCTTTTTCCTCTAGCGAATCCCTTGTCTTGCCAACTCAGTTCCCCTTTCTGCTATCATCTCCTCGTGTGTCCCATCACGTCCATGCCATCCATCGCTTGGGTTGGGCCCCCAGCAGCACCCCCCGCAGCACCCCCAGCAGCACCCCCAGCAGCACCCCCAGCAGCACCCCCAGCAGCACCCCCAGCAGCCCCCCCAGCAGCCCCCCCAGCAGCCCCCCCCAGCAGCCCCCCCCGCAGCACCCCCAGCAGCCCCCCCCAGCAGCCCGCCCAGCAGCCCGCCCAGCAGCCCGCCCAGCAGCCCGCCCAGCAGCCCGCCCTGCGCTCGTGGAAGTACTCTCTCGCCGAGCCCCTCCCGCTCTGCCCGCGCTCGTGGCACACATCACCATCGGAGCATCAGCCCCGCTCGCCCTCACCAGCACAGCGTGTGGCAGCGCAGCCAGGGCCGTCGTCATCTTCTCCCCCTTCGTCACCAGCAGGCTCGCCCACACAGCCACGCGATTGCCACTTCCAGCCCCTCACTCTCATCCACATCGGCTATGAAAAGCTGTCGCCACCCCGCCGCCCTCCTGCTGCCCTTGCCACTGGCTCCGATCTTCCCTCTCCCGCTGCCACTGCCACTGCACCCTCTCTTGCCCTCCCTGCTGCCCTTGGCACTGCAACCACCCCCTCCTGTTCTGCTGCCATCGCTACTCGTCCATCTGTTGTCCCTGCCAACACTCCCACTCTCTCCTCGCCTGCTGCCGCCACAGCCATTCATGCCAACCATAATAACACGGCCCCCGGTTATTCTTCAACCCCCTCCGCGTCCCCCCACGGCACTGCACCCTTTCCCACCCCACCCGCCTTCTCTGCACCTTCTTCTCCTACGCTCCCTACACCTCCACCCCTGTCTTCTGCTCCCCCTTCCTCTGCACCCCCCTCCGCTGCTCCCCTCTCGCCTCACCCCCACTCCTGGAGCCCCCCTCCCGGTCCCTCCTTTGACTATCCATCTTGCACACTCTCGCTCTCCTCAGGTCCCTGCCAGTGACCGTGCCACCTTCACGCCAATAGGCTGTTAAGGCAAGTTTGGAGTTTCGTGGCGGAAAGAGTGCGAGGAAATGGGGCGGTGGGGTGGGAGGCGACTAGGCAGGGTCAGACGAATGCGAATGCGAATGTGTATGGATCGGTGAGCGCAGGAAGGCGCCGCCTGTCGGAGAGGGATGTGGAGGATTTGAACGCCATGCTGCGGACCAGGCGTGTTTACTGCAACAGTCAGCTGCATTACATCTTCGACGGGAATGGGTGGACACTTATCCATTCTGCTGCGCGCCAAGGGAACACAGCTGTGGTGAGATCTCACATTCTTCAAAACCCCCCCTCTCCCTTCTCCCTTGGCTTCTCTGCTCCCCTCTTCCTCTCCATTTCTCCTCCCTCCTCTCCATCCCGCCTCCCTCGTCCTCTCCTCCCTCTCCCCTCTTCTCTCTAATCCTCTGATCTTTCTTCTCCATCGCTTGCACTCTGTCACTCTGTACTCGCGATGGGCTGTCACATTCTCCCACCTCATCGCATGCCCTTCCACCCCTTGCACATTTTCTAACGATTTCTAATTCTTCTGCGTGCATCTCACCCAAACCATATACCTCCAGCTATAGGCGGCACGCCACTGTGGTTGGCCATGCAGGGGAGGAGGGTGCATCGCGTGCTCATGACTCAACAGACGTCCTCTCCCTCCCACTTGCCTCTACAGCTGGAGGCGCTTCTGCTGCTGGGCATGTCGGTGGGAGAGCTGAGCGAAGACACCCTCACCACGCCACTGCACCTGGCAGTGCTGTCGGGGAATGTGGAGACCATGGAGCTGCTGTTCTGTCATGGTGCCGACATCAATGCTCGCACTAGATACGGCTGTGAGTCATGAGGGAAACTAACGTTCTTTCGTCTCTTGCTTCCGACCATTCCGCTTCTTGTGCTTCAGTCTACTTTCCGCCTATTGAGCTCCTGCTTTCCTCCGTTTCTGTCCCTGCCGTCTCCCTCCCACTTCTCCCTGGTTCCTCAACCGCAGGGACTCCGCTGCACAATGCAGCCAACTGGGAGAGATGGGACGGGGTGAGGTGGCTGGGGAAGAAGGGGAGAGATCTCGACAAGTCATCAAGGCCGAACAAGCTGCCTCAGCATCGTATGGATGAGGCGGTGAAAATTGTGCGGGAGGTGCAGGCGGGGAGGGGAGAGCACGTGGGGGTGGGGGAGCACGTGGGGAGGGGAGAGCACGTGGGGAGGGGAGAGCACGTGGGGAGGGGAGAGCACGTGGGGAGGGGAGAGTACGTGGGGGTGGGAGGGCACATGGAGATGGGCGGGAGCGATGATGGACTAGAGTTCCTTAATCTTGACGCTTTGCACGGAGAGACAGCAGAGGGGATAACTTGGGGAGGTGGAATGGACACACCAGTCCAACCTTCTGCCATGCGGGCTGGCTGCTCCTCATGAAGGGGGTGGGTAGAGTAGATAATGAGGGGATACGGTAATACGAGAATAGATGTTTGGTTGAGTAAATCGTGGGGAATAGTGATGACTGCATTGTGTGTGCTTCTTTCTTGTAGCTACTACGGTATCTTCCCCTGGATGTACATTATCCATGAATCTGCTCTATCCTGCCAATGTCTTGTCAAGAAGGATAATGCAACTCCGCATGGACCTCAAGTCTCCTTGCCTTAACTATTACGTTAACCTTAGCACCAGAGAAAGCTGTGTGCAGGAGAGCATCAAAGATCAGAGATCAACGTGCGCATAGTTCCTTGCGAGATAGCGATTGGCCATCAATCTAACCTGCATATTCAGCCACACCGCAGCAGCAAGCACGACAGATTGACAGCATGCAGAAAGGCAGACATGAATCCCACATAGCAAGATTGGCAAAAACCAGGAACAGAAAGCACAGGAGAAGGAAAGCACCAGAAAGGTTCAGAAGGCAGCAGCCACGTTACAGTCCTTACCTTTGGCTTGGAGCCGGTGGTGAGAATGAGGGTCTGGCGGTGAGGAGACAGGAAGGAGATGATGTAGTTCATGGTGCGATTGCGCAGTGACTCGGGCTCACTCAGCACGGGCAGCTGATGTGCCATGCCATCCCAGGGATGATGGTGTGACCAGATGGAATGGAGCAGGGGTGGCAAGAAGCAAGCAGAATGTGGACATGATTGGAAGTTGAAATGGGCAGCCAAAAGGGGTAACGGCTAGCTCAGCACATTAGAGTGCAACAAACAGCCACCCTTACCGCCATTCCACCGCCTCTTCCTCGGCCGTTTTCCCCCATCGCCATCCCCTTCCGCCTCCCCCCCTACAGACTGCCGCGCTCCGCCATCGGCGCTGGCTAACTCTCCGCGATTCACGCGCTTGCGGGGGGCGAGCGCGGTGGGATGGAACGCGGCAGGCGACAGAGGAGACGGCTCTTCCTGTGGATTCCGCATCGCGCGAAACACCAGACGCTCGCGTGCGGGCCGCGAGTGCCCTCTCCACCAGTCCTGGATGCCACGAAGGAAGATTCAGGGCGTGGGCGTGCGCACGCGGTGCTCACGCTATGCACGCGAACACGAGCCACGAGGCTGGTATTGGTGTTCACCGCTTTAGACCACTCCACATCAAAATGGAAACCTTACATTGTCAATCATGAACCAATAAAATATGACCTCTGTTAGGTGCTTCCCTTCCACGCATTCTGCGGCACGTGTGTGTTGTGACATGGGTGATCGGCATTGCAAGGGTTGCACTTAACATTCTCGTGCATTTACACCAATGAGCAGTGGCAGCACTCATGTGGCGCCATGGTTATCAAGAACAAGAAACTCATCTATCCAGCTTGCACCCGCACCAGGCTCCTCCCCCCACGCATGCCCTCCAATCCCCCCATGGCCTGGCCGCCTAGCATACTCCTCCTGCACTATCTCCACAGCCCGTGCCATGAGGTGAGCAGGTAGCTTGTCCGCCTTGGGGTTGGCTCCTGCTGTTTCCACCTCTGCCAGTTCTATCCCCTGCTGTGCTAGCCATGTCACTGCCTCCCACTGCTGCAGACTCGCTGCATTGTGCAGAGGAGTCCCTGGCAGGGTGGATGAGAGAAATCGGCGGGATAGGAAGAGGACGAAAGCGGATCTGGAAACAGAGGCGGAGGCAGAAGCAGGGTACAGAGGGCACGACAGGGTTGAGAGGGTCAGCCTGAAGGCAAGGGACAAGGAAGCAAGAAAGATGGGTGTAGTAGAATGGGACAAGCGTAGCACGAATCGACTCACAGCCGCCAGCAGTGCGAGCGCGGATGTCAGCGCCATGCTGCACCAGCAGGTGCATGCAGCCCACGTTGCCGCCATACGCCGCCACGTGCAGTGGCGTGGTGGCATTGCGCGTGCTGCACACCCCTGCTGGCATGCCCATGCGCAACAGCGCCCGCAGCTGCAGGCAGGTGCATGGGGGAATGAGAGGCGGGAGAGAAATGGGCGGGCGTGTGAGTGGAAGCCTACGGTTGGAAATGCACACAGATGATGGCTGGTGGGAGAGTGCTGTGACGATGATGGATGCAAGGTGGGGGAGTATGGGAAGGGATGGGGTGCCCACGTGGGTTGAATAGTTGGGGGCAGGGAGGCGCATGAGATGTGACAGACTGACCACGGGGGAGTCACCATTGCGGGCAGCCACGTGCATGGCGGTCCACCCCCTCTCATCCACCACTCCACTCAGCCCCTCTGCTGACTCCACCCCGCATGCCCGCCGCACCACACGCCACACGCCCTGCCCCTCCTCCTCCCCACTGCCTTCCCCACTGCCCTCTCCACTGCCCTCCGCACTGCCGTCCCCACTACCATCCCCCACAGGCAGCGCCGCCAGGAACGCTTTGACGTGAGAGTACAGCTCCCTCGCGTTGACACTGGGAGTGAGAGGCGCAGCGACGAGTGCAGGCAGGGCAGCAGGGGCAGCGGGAGGGGCGAGAGAGGGGAAGGCGGAGGAGGTAGAGGTGGGAGGTGGGGCATGGGAGGGGGCGATGGAGGAGATGAGGACGAGGGAGAGCGGGTGGCAGAAGCGGTGGGTGGGCGCTACACTCTCTGCCATGGCTGCTGGGGAGGAGGAGGACGATGGGGACCGCGGCTGTGACCCTGAGGGCGATAATGCCATAGGTTGTTGCGAGCCTGCTGCCGTCACTGCCTGTGGTTGCGAGCCTGAGGGTGACACGGGAGGGAGCGCTGATGATTGGGAGTGTGACTGTGAGAGTGATCGTGGCAGGGGAGATGGAGGAGGGGGTCGGCGCGCCAGTGGCTGGTTGAGCAGCAGGAAGAAGCGCCTCGCCCTGAGACTGTGCAGCTGGGCGCAGCGACAAGAGGGGGGGATGGAGGGCACGGGCACAAGGGGGAGGGGAAGCACCATGGGCAGGTGAGTTACGGAGGCAAACGAATGGAAATGGTGAAGAGGGCAAGGGAAGGCACAGCATGAGCAGGCAGCGGAGCTAAGGGCAAGCGGGCGGGACATGGTAACCGTGACCCGCGCTCTCACCTGCTCTGCTTCCTCCTGGCTATGCTGACGTGCCAGCATGCCGCCTTGCGTCCGCTGCCTCTGCACGATGGGGATGAGGAGGGCGCGGATAGTGGTGGCGGGATGGTTCAGGAGTCAGGCATGCCACGGTGGGTGGTGCATGGGAGTCAACAGCCCACAAGTGAGCAAAGACCGCGCGAGGGAGGTCGGGACTCGGGGGTCAGACCAGAGCGAGCCATGCAGTGGCGCGCGGCACAAGGAGAAACGTTGCGGGCAGTGTTTGCGGACGTGCGAGGTGAGTGACAAGGCAAGCGCTGTGCTGAGCTGCTGTGCAGTGCTGCGCGCCGCACCTTGGCACTGCGGTCGACCTGCGAGGACGCCACCTCCAGCTGCGTAAGGTAGGGGGCGCGCAGGCCCGCGGGCAGCAGAGGGAAGAGAGCAGCGGGCGTGGCGGCGGTGGCGTGCACATGCGAGCTGCCCTGCGGCCCACAGAAGCCCCTCCATGGCGTCGCTGCTGCTCGCCGCCTGCTGCTGCTGCTGTGCTCCATCAGAAAGAACGTGTCTGCTAGGGGGGGGGAGAGGGAGGGTGGGGAGGATGAGGCAGCGAGCGGACATGAGCGGAGAGCCTGGTTGGGGGAACGAGGGCGCGCCTCACATGGGGCTGGGGGCGAGGGGATAGTGAAACGGCGAAGGCGGCAGCAGCGGGGGGGAGGGAGGGGGGGAGGATGGTAAGCACATGGAACAGCAGCAGCAGCTCATGGAACCCACGCCAGCACTACCTGCTCTTCTCCTGCTCCTCCACTGCTGCCCCACCTCGCTCCTCCCCGCGCACCTACCCTCCATCATCCGCAAAACATGGCTTGCCTCGCAGCAGCAGCGACTCGGCGGCGCACGGCATGCTGCGCAGCACGCGGAAGCCGAACGCTTCCCGCGGCCGCGGATCGTCGCTCTCCGGCCAGTCGCACAGCGCGTTGGCGACGAGCAGGCACGTGGCGATTGCGTCGTGCTGCTGCGACAGCGTCGCGGCCGCGCGAATCGCGTGGTTCAGGTCGCGCGCGAGCCCGTCGAAGCTTCTCAGCAGGCGCGCGTCGACAGCTGCGCCGACGCCGGGCGGCGCACCGCTCCCGCCGATCTCCTCGGCTGTTCGCGGCGAGTCCGAATCCGTCGCCTCGGCCGCGGGGTCCGGCAGCGCGCTTCTCTCCCGGCTCGCCGCCATGCTCTACCGCGCGCGACCTTCGCGATGCTGTCGTCACGAATCGGCGAGTGAGTGGGGCGAGCTGGCGAGTGGTAACAGCGGAAGCGGCGGGAGCGGGGAGGGACGAAGGAAGGAGGGACGAAGGAAGGAAGGAGGAAGGAAGGAAGGAGCGGCGAGTGAGCGGGGAGGGACGAAGAAAGGCCGTTGAAATGGGCGCGATCGCGATCGGACTAGAAAGTTGGACAATCGCGTCTTCAAAGGCCATGACCGGTAGGCGGCGAAAGGACAGGAGACTGTACTCTAAACTCGCAACCGTCACTGCTCGGGGCTAGCCGGGCAATGCAGACCCACTCGGGAATCCCCATGCATGCCTGCATGGCGCATCCCGCCTCGCTACATCCTCCCTCCGCCCTCCCTGCTCCATCGCTCCCGTGCAGTGGTTGATAAGCAAGCGGCGACGCAGCGGGTCTCGGAGCCTATGTGGCGAGAGAATTGCCGCGGCGCGGGTTTTGGTCTCGTGAATTTTTCTTATCGCGCTCAAAATTTTCCACAACCCGAAAGACACACACTTCACCTTCTGTCGCGAGCGGCACGCGCTCCCCCCATTTCGCGTCATTTAATCACTTTACGGGTTTTTTTTGGGGGGGGTTCCAATTTGTCGGTGGGCAGTTTGCTTGGTGACATCGAACATAACTGCCACTCAGTGTGGATAACAGGTTCGGACAGGTTCGAGCGCGAACAGGCTCGACAAAGTGCTGCGGATCACTGTATCAGACAGTACAGTTGTGTGGGCTTAGGCGTGTCGCAATGCGATTGGTCTGCTAATATTCACTGTACTGACTTTTACACCACGGAGATCGCATGTACTGTAGTGCTGCGCCCATGTGGCACGTAGCCGTCATGCACTCAGTCGTTTCCTTCCAGCTCTTGCCACGCGGAACATTTGAAGCCGTGTTAAAAAACTGATCCTTAACACTTTGAGAACGTATCAGCCAATGATTAAGCGCCGCGTCATACTATCGAAGTGAAGTTGTTCAAGTGCGTGATGATGTGGTAAGAAAGCATTATTTGTGTGCTCGATACTATATACAGCGACCGTTTCACAACGAAAAAATCATCAGTAGATTGTAACTACATATTAGGAGGGAGTATTTTTAACAAAATAAACAGCACCCAACTAGAGATATAAAAAAACAAGTTCATAAACAAGCCATTTATTATAACACTCAGTTCCATTTTGTTATACATTGGAAAACCGTTGATCACTCATTTGCAAAATTTTGCAACTCCATGGTTCTGGGGGGGGAAATGCACATATTGTGACCTTGTATGTGAAGTACTTTGTTTATTGTTGAAGATATCAACACTGTACTTAGGTTTGTTTTTATGTTTGAGGATCTTTATTTTTACTTATCTATTCATTGTACTGGTGCATTGAGGCATGATCATCATAGTGAGTAAACGAAAAGAATCATGCCTTTGCCAGCACTTTTACACTTGTTAATTTTTAGCCAACCTTTTCACAAGCATAATCAACCTTGCTACAGACACTGTTATCTCAATATATGTATAATGTATGGTCAGTTGTGCCTGCATTACGTATTTCTGCCATGCCCAATTGGCGTTGTTATGCCTTGTGAGAGACCATAACATTACCCACCTGATTAAATATTTAGAGACAATAAAAAACAATAGCTATGCTTATCTCTTGTACTACAATTGTTTGAAGATTCTCTAATCATATGCTGCTATATTTTCTAAACTTTGAGTAAAATGTTCAACATTGAAATTGTATTGTATTGATAGATTAATGAGCTATTTTACTTATATTATCATGCAGATATTTTACGCACTACCAAACAACTGTTATGAAGAAAAGTTATATGTACTTTTACATGTTTTATCTATCAATTAATCGTTAACGGAATGTAATGCTCCGCGAATATCGACACTCCTTGCTTTCTGAACCTCAAATGATTCGTGCGCGATCGTGATTGGTTCCGCTGGTGGCACTGAGGTCTGACGTGTCTAGTGTTCCAAATTCATATCGGTGCTGCGGCGTTCAAAACGAACAGCGTCAGATCAGCTGACGAGGAGATCGACCCAACGCACACAATACGAACCAACATTTCTATTGGTGCTTGTTCGCGCTGCGCTGCTCAAAATGCTTCCTCTCGTACTTATGAACCTGTCGTTTCAATGACTGCCATTTGGCGCTCAAAGGATTTTGTCATGCTGAATGGCACACGTAGGCTAAATTACGAGATGTCACACGTAGGCTTGGCAACCCAGCACTACGCTGGTTTGGCTCCGACAATGTTGGAGGCTCTCGGTTGGGTTCCTGGCAAAAATTTCCGACATGACCGTACACTTACATGTACACTACCACTTTGAAGTCAAAATGTCGGGAGCGCGCACCGCTCGCGATAAAAGGTGGAGCGCGTGTCTTTCGGGTTGTGTAAAAATTTTAGCGCGATGAAAAAAATTCGCGAGACCAAAGTCCGCGCCGCGGCAATTCTTTCGTATGTGGCGGTGAGAGTGAGCAAGGCGAGGAGGAGCCGTGAAGCGCCATCGCGCCGTTCATGTGCGCCAAGCAGCAATGTCACACGGCTCGCTCGGCTGGTAACGGGCCCCAGCCAGAACTGTCGGGCAGATGGTTCCTCCTTTACGCAGTATGGTAGGAATGCGCTGGGATCGGGCCACTTGATGTGACAACAGGGTTTCCATGAGTACTACCGTACCGTAGCACCCCTTTTAATATAAATTTCAGGCATTACCGTATGTGGTACACGTGTGTGTGTCTATGGCATCATTGCGAAGTACCTCAGATGTGCTTCTCATTATCTTCTCGTTCGGCCTCTCCCTGCCTCGTGCATTCTAACCACTGAGCAGTGGGAGCAGCAAGTCAGGCACCGCACCATGGTGATCATTAGGCAAAAGAAAATCATCCACACCATGCTCCTTCCACACGACCTGCACCGCCCGTTCCATGAGGTGCGCCTTGAGGTGCGCCTTGGGGTTGGCACCGGCTGTTTCCACCTCTGCTGGTTCTATCCCCTGCTGTGCCAGCCATCTCACCGCCTTCCACTGCTCCTGGCTCGCTGCGTTGTGAAGTGGCGTCCCTGGGAGAGTGGAGGGTGGATGACGGGAGGCGGTCGGATAGGCAGGGGGCGAAAGCAGCTTTGGAAGCAATGCGGGAGGACAGCAGGATGCAGAGGGTCAAGGTGAAGGCAAGAGAGCAAAGAAAGGACGTTGGGTGCAGAATGATGCAAGCAAAGCACTTTCAACATTCTAGTGTGAGACCAGGCACTCACAGCCGCCAGGCACTCACAGCCGCCAGGCACTCACAGCCGCCAGGCACTCACAGCCGCCAGGCACTCACAGCCGCCAGGCACTCACAGCCGCCAGGCACTCACAGCCGCCAGGCACTCACAGCCGCCAGGCACTCACAGCCGCCAGGCACTCACAGCCGCCAGCAGTGCGAGCGCGGATGTCAGCCCCATACTCCACCAGCAGGCTCATGCAGTCCACATGGCCGCCATACGCCGCCACGTGCAGTGGCGTGGTGGCATTGCGCGTGCTGCACACCCCCGCCGGCATGCGCATGTCCAACAGCGCCCGCAGCTGCAGGCACATGCACGGGGGAGCCGGGGGGAGAAAAAAGGGCGCCGGTGTGAGCGTGGAACAAGGCTTCGCTGGGGAGTGTGCAGACTCAGGATGATGGAAGGTGGGGATGTGTGGGAGCTGATGCACGGGTGCCAGTGGGAAGATGCACGCATGAGAGGTGAGACTGACCACGGGGGAGTCACCATTGCGGGCAGCCACGTGCATGGCGGTCCATCCCCTCTCATCCACCACACCACTCAACTCCCCTGCTGACTCCACCCCGCATGCCCGCACCACTCGCCACAGCCCCTGCCACTCCTCCTCCCCTCCACCCTCGCCACTAGTACATCCCCCACCACCGTCCCCAGTGCCATGCGCGCTGCCACTTCCCCCAGCTCGCCCCGCCAGGAACGCCTTGACGTGAGAGTAGAGCTCTTTCGCTGTCACCGTGGGAGTGCGAGGCGCAGTGGCGGGTGCAGGCAGGGCGGTGGGGGCATGAGGAGAGGCAGGAGAGGGGAAGGTGAGGGAGGGCGACGGAGCGAGGGAGGGGGCGAGGGAGGGTGACGGAGCGAGGGAGGGGGCGAGGGTGGGTGACGGAGCGAGGGAGGAGGCGAGGGTGGGTGGAGGAGCGAGGGAGGGTGAAGGAGCGAGGGAGGCTGAAGGAGCGAGGGAGGGGGCGGGGGAAGGTGAAGGAGCGAGGGAGGGGGCGAGGGAAGGTGAAGGAGCGAGGGAGTGGGCGAGGGAAGGTGAAGGAGCGAGGGAGGGGGCGAGGGGGGGTGAAGGAGTGAGGGAGGGGGCGAGGGAGGAGATGCGGACGAGGGAGAGCGGCTGCGAGAAGCGGAAGTTGGGCGACTCGCTATCCGCTGACGGCGATGGGGGGGAGGAGGGCGACGCTGCCAACGGCTGCTGTGAGCCTGCTGCTGTATCGGCCTGGGGTTGCGATCCTGGGAGTGACACGGGCGGGGGCGCTGGTGACTGGGCGCGTGAGTGTGAGAGCGATGGCAGAAGGGGAGATGGAGGAGGGGGTCGGTGCGCCAGTGGGTGGTCAAGCAGCAGGAAGTAGCGGGTGGCCCTGAGATTGTGCAGCTGGGAGCAGCGACGAGGGGCGAGGGGGCGAGGGTGGACGGCACAGGCACAGGGGCGAGGGAAGCACTGTGAGCGGATGAAATTAAGCGGCGATGGCATGGGAAGAGGGAAGAGGGCAAGTGAGCGCATGCAGACAACAGAGCAGTGCGAGGGGGAAGGCAGGAGCATGTAGTGACAAGGTGCCCCTGACGTGCGCTCTCACCTGCTCTACTTGCTCCTCGCTCAACTGCCGTGCCAACACGTCGCCTCCTTTACAGTCCCTCTGCTTGCACGGACGATGGGCACAATGGGCAGGATGAGGAACACGGGGAAAGCGTTGAGGCGTGTAAGGGCGGGTAAGTAGGCAGGCATGCCATGGTGGGTAGTGCTTGCTTGGGATACAGCCGCCCACATGTGGGGTTGGAGATCACAGTGGAGTGGAGTGGAGTGGAGTGGAGTGGAGTGGAGTGGAGTGGAGTGGAGTGGAGTGGAGTGAACAGTGGAGTGGTGTTGGCAGAGTGAGGGATACTATGCGTTGTGGGTGTGGACGTGCGTGGTGAGCCACAAGGTGAGCGCTGTGTTGCGCTGGGCTGGGCGGCGCACCTTGGAGTTGCGCTTCATTTTCACGGGCGACGGCACACCCAGCTGCGTGAGGAAGGGGCCACGCAGGCATGCAGGCAGCAGCGGCCAGAGCGCGGGGGGCGCTGTTGCGGTGGCGGGTTCAGGCTTTTTGCTCCGCGGTCCGCCGAAGCTCTTCCAGTGCGACGCCGCCGCGCGTCGCTTGCTGCTGCTGTGCTCCATCAGGAAAAATGTATCTGCCAGTGGAGGGAAGAGGGGGAGGAGGGGGGGAGGGGGGCGATGCCGAGGGCGACGGAGAGGAAAAGAAGGGGGCGTGGGGCCATGACGAGATAGTGAAAACGATGCGGGGCTGGTTTGGAAAACGCGGGCGCAGCTCACACGGGCTGGAGGCGCGTGACACGGAGAGGGCGGGGAGGGGAGGGAGGGGGGGGGGGTCGGGGAGATGGCAAGCAGCGTGTGGTGGGTTACGACGCGCTGGTGAGCAGGGAAGAGCACGGGCACCGCACTGTCAGAATGAACGGACAGGAATGATTGAACTAACAGTGAAAACAGTGTAAGTACCTAACCCTAGAATTGTGTACCCCCTATAGGCTAACCCACTATAGCCTAAACAGACACAACACATATAATGTTTGACACACCCCCATAGGCAAAGTGGGGGAGAGCAAGGGGTCACAAGACCAGTCAAAGCAAAGCAAAACAAGCTCAGGGTGGATCTCAAGGATACCACACAAATTCCGAGCACAAGCAAGTGGTCACAAGACCAGTTCACATGCAGGTTGATAATATAGCAAGAGATACAGTGATCACAACCTAGCAAGAGTAAACATGCAGGTAGATATATATATAGTGATCACAGTACAAGCAAGGTCAAGAAGTAAGCAAGTGAGGTCTAGTAGGCACAAGGCCTAGCAGAGTGCAGAAGCGCTGATGGTCACAAGGCGGAAGCGCCTTGGTGAACACATCAGCAAGGTTGGCCTCAATGGCCACGTAACGCAGACGAAACTGACCACGCTGCTGCAGCTCTCGAGCAAGGAAGTACCGCAGGGCGATGTGCTTCATTCTGTGCTCCAGTCTGTGCTCCTCACACAAGGCAATGGCAGCCTGGTTGTCGACGTACAGCACTGGAGGAGAACGAGGCCGCTCACCCAAGTCGGTCAGCAGGTAGGTCAGCCAGCGTAGCTCCTGGGCAGCCATGGCTGTGGCGTAGATCTCAGCCTCACAACTGGAGCTGAGAACAGAAGAAGAGCGTGTAGAACGCCAAGAAACTGAGCCGGAGCCAAGGCTGAAGGTGTAACCCTGAGACGACCGCTGAGTAGCCTGGTTGTCCGCCCAAGAAGCGTCTGAGTGTCCAGTAAGTACAACTCGGTCTCGCCCTCCAAGCACTAGCCCCATGCCCGACGTACTGCACAAGTAGCACAACACCCTCTTAGCGGCATCCATGTGCTCCTTCCTGTGACGGCCAGGAGCGACATAGCGTGCAAGGATGCTAAGAGGGTATGCAAGGTCAGGTCGAGTGCAGGTCATCAGGTACATGAGGCAGCCCACAAGCTCTGGATACGGGCCACTCGGCTCTACGGACTCATCCAAAGGCAGAGCTGAGAGCGAGTGACCGGTAGGCAGAGGAGTGGACTGAGGCGAGGAGTACGTGAAGCGGAAGCGCTGAAGGATCTGCTGCACCATGTGTGACTGAGTCAAGGTGATGGTGCGCCGTGCTCTGTCCTGGGTGATCCGCAAGCCAAGATAGCTTGTCAGTTCACCCAGGTCTGTGCACGTGTGTCTCCTCTGCAGTTCCGACTTCACGTGGGCGAGTGCCGCGGTGTCAGCAGTGGCAAAGACCAAGTCGTCGACGTACACGAGGATGTAGAATGGCGGCAGTGAGGTGTCTGTGCGTAGAAACAGTGACGGGTTAGCAGTAGAGGGAGCGAACCCAAGAGCCGCAAGTGTCGTCCTCAGTGTGTCGTGCCACTCACGCGGTGCCTGGCGGAGACCGTAGACCGGCCGCTGGAGCCTCCACTGGGTACCAGGAGGAACCGACCCAGTGAAGCCAGGAGGGCGGCGCAGCCAGATCTCCTCGTGCAGGCTGCCCTGCAAGAAAGCAGTGTTGAAGTCAAGTGAGTGAAGCTCGTAGTCGCGCTGAGCGGCTATGTGCAGCAGCACCCGAAGAGTGGTCATCTTTGGGGTGGGGGAGAAGGTCTGAAAGAAGTCAACTCCCTCTCGCTGACTGAAGCCTCGAGCCACGTAGCGCGCCTTGAAGACAGGAGGAGAACCCGGCGGCCGCTTCACCCTGAAAATCCACATGCCACTGACGATGTTCGCCCCAGGTGGGGGAACCTCGTCGACGTAGGTGCGTGTGGACTTCCAGGAAGCCATCTCTGCGTCCATGGCTGTCTGCCACTAAGAGGAGTAGGGACCCGCCATCGCCTCAGCGTAAGAGCGCGGGGTCGGGATGTCTGGTGCATCCGGGTCTCCCTCAGGGGCAACTAGCATGGACACGAGGTGGGGCAAAGCAGCAGCAAAGCACTGGAACTCCTCCTGTCTGTCCTCAAGGACGTCCGTGCCAAGAGCACACTCACCCCCGACGGACGGAGGACAGACAGACTCAGACTCAGACTCAGCAACAAGGCTAGTGGCGTAGTCGAGACGACACCGGGCAGCAAAGTCTATCAACTCAGCGACCAGAGCAGACGCAGCAGAGGACTCAAAGGTAGGGTCAGTGACAACAGTGGCGAGAAGACGGGTGACCGTGGGACTGGCAGCACGACGGGAGTCAGACTCCGGGTCAGGAAGAGTAGGCAGAGAGGATGCAGGAGGAGACGGCAGCGGGACACGCTGAGGAGCAGTGGAGGGACGCAGAGTCATGTAGTGAGTGCCAGGGACAGGAGGAGGACGCTCACGTGGGACACGACGACCAGTGCGAGCAGTACGAACAGGCGACGCAGGACGAGACGCAGGCTCACGACGCTCTGCAAGACCTCCTGTGGGACCAGTGTAGGGAGAGGGACCAGGAAGAGGCGAGGCAGGCGGTAACTGTGACTGCGACTGGACAGGCGGAGGACACTCTACGGAGGGAGGAGGACGAGGAGGAGGAGTCTGACCAAGAACCTGCTCAAGGAGCCGCACGAAGTACGGTCGCGGCCGTGCGGCGTCTCCAAAGCCAGCAGAGACACCAGCGCTAGGGTCCTCAGCACCAGCAGCAGCTCCACCGTCCGAGTCCTCAGCACCAGCAGGAACTCCACCAGCCGGGTCCTCAGCACCAGCAGCAGCTCCACCGCCCGGGTCCTCAGCACCAGCAGCAGCTCCACCGCTCGGGTCCTCAGCACCAGTAGCAGCTCCACCGCCTGGGTCCTCAGCACCAGCAGCAGCTCCACCGGCCGGGTCCGCAGCACCAGCAGCAGCTCCAACGTCCGGGTCCACAGCACCAGCAGCAGCGCCACCGCTCGGGTCCTCAGCACCAGCAGCAGCTCCACCGCCCGGGTCCGCAGCACCAGCAGCAGCGCCAACGTCCGGGTCCTCAGCACCAGGAGCACCACTCCGAAGACTGCAGCGCCTCGTGTACCACTCTCGGATCTGCTGGAGGGGGGGGAGCTCCCGGGCAGGAGGGGAAGCACCGCGACCAGCTCCAGCAGTACCTCTCCGGAGGCGGCAGTACTGTAGGTACCGCTCCTGCAGCCGCTGTGAGGAGAGGGCTCCTCCAGGTGGAGTACCCCCAGACTCAGCACCCCCAGGCTCCGCACCCGCAGACTCAACACCCTCAAGCTCACTACCCTGAGGCTCAGCACCCCCAGGCTCCGCACCCCCAGACTCAGCACTCCCAGGCTCAGCACCCCAAGACGCGGCACCCCCAGGCTCAGCACCCCCAGGCTCAGCACCCCCAGACGCAGCACCCCCAGACTCGGCACCCCCAGGCTCAGCACCCCCAGGCTCAGCACCTCCAGGCTCAGCACCCCCAGCAGGACGAGAGTCAACAGCTACCTCGACAGGCTCACCCGGGTCTACCTGGGACACACCTGAGGGAGCGGCACCCTGAGGGGGGAGGGGGTCTGGTACCTCAGCACCTGGAGCGAGGAAGAGAGGCGGGGGGGGAGCGGGGCAGTGCGGTAGGGGAAGAGGCGGTAGTAGGGGACGGACTCGTCAAAAGTGACGTCCTGAGAGGCCAGGACACGACGCGAGGTGGCGTGGTAGAACTGCCAACCAGGCGCGTCCGGGACAAAGCCAAGGAAGACACAGGGGACAGCGCGACGGGAGAGCTTGTCCGCGGACGTGTCGCGAACAAAAGCTCGGGATCCCCAGACCCGAAAACGCGACGCATCGCCAGCCTCTCCCGTCCAACGCAGTGTCGGAGAAGTCTCCGGTAAGGAGACACGGGGCCAGAGGTTGAGCTGATGCGCAGCGTATCGGACAGCAAACGGCCACAGAAAATGGGGGGCAGCCGCATGAACCAAGGAGGTACGAGCGACCTCCATGACCAAGCCAATGCGGCGCTCAGCAACCCCATTCTGCTGTGGAGAGGCCGGAAGCGTGAACGACTGCTCAATGCCCTCCTGCTGACAGAAGGCCTCCAAGAGGCCAGAGGAAAACTCCCCACCTCTGTCAGAGTGCAGACGCAGGACAGGGAAGTCGGAGCGGAAACGCTCACTGAGCTGGAGACGAGATCTGCGGATCCAAGGGATCAAGACATCAGGGACGTCACCCTTGGCGCGCAAGGGGAAGACCGTGGTGTAGCGTGAGAAGTCGTCAACAACAATCAGGAAGTACCTCTCCTGACCCTGACCACGGACGCGGGCTGGGCCCCACACGTCCATGTGGAGCGTCTGCAAAGGAGCAGTCATCGGGGGAAAGGAGGAGGAGTGAGGAGCGGCGCGCTGCCGCCCCTCGACACAGGGAAGACAGGGAGGAGCAGGCGAGGGTGGGAGGGGAGGGAGAACCCTGGGAAGACCAGCAACAAGGTCCCGTTTGTGCATGGCCCGAAGGCGCTGCACAGACGGGTGACCAAGGCAGTGGTGCCAGAGGACAGTCTCATGCGCCAGAGAGCGACACGAGTAGGGGGCGGACAGCTGACCTGACGCAGACGCAGACGCGGACGCAGCTACCTGAGGGGACTCAGTGGTCAGTGTGTACAGGTCCGACCCCGGCTGTCGAGTGAAGGTAGCCAGGTGACGGCCCGTCCGAGCACACGTGCAGTGTGTCACGCGCTCGTACGCAGGGGTGAACTGGTGAAC